CCAGCAGGTGTAGTTTGTTATATTAAAACAATTTCCTATTAACTGTTAACTGAATCAAGTAACCAAGCAACACCTTTTCGTAAAAGGGGTAAAATGATCAGCACTGTGACTTGTTTGATTGGTTTAAGAAGTCATTTCATTCATTTAATGGACTTAATCTTTCAACCAAAGACTAGGTCTTTTTCACAGAACAAGTCACAGAAGGAAAAGCACTGGCGCAAATAATAAAATTGAATGATGGCTGAGTTCCATTTAGCTGCTTGTCTTGTGCTTGCTGGCTCACTGTCATGGCTGTCACTGGGAGACTTGATTAGAACAACACCATCGTTAATGTTGTTAGTAACATGTGACAAGTTAAAAGGTCTGCTAGAAGGTCTTTCTCTGAAGAACAGAAACCTCTGGAAAATCTTTATTAGTTTCAGCAGATTCCAAAATGCATGTTTCAGTGTCAGAAACAGACTCATTCCATTGCACAGTTTCTGTTTTGTCTGCCACCGTACTCTGCTTGATTCACTGTTTGCTTGTTGCTCTTCTCACAGTCAACAAACCAACAAGGAGCTCACCGAGGTGTTTAACCAAATCTGGTGCCTGGATACCAACCGTCTCAGGCCGGGGACTGATTACATCATTTCCCTCCAGGTCTGTACCACAAGTCTGCCACCACTGGTTCTGCAAAACAGCAGAGATACATGCAAACATGCAAACCCCACGTGGAAAGGAGTCACAGAGCAGTGCTGTGTGCATTCTGCTATGACATCACAGAGAATACAGGGCAGTTAAATCCTGTAAAACCTGTTCTGCCGAAATTTCATCCAGTTACCTGTTAGTGCAAGTAAATGGAGCCTCAGACACTATGTCATAAAAAGATAAAAAACACACCACCTGGATTGTCATAATTAGCTGTACATTATCTGTAACATAAGAACAAACAAAATTAAGAGTCTACTGCTACGCTAATATCTGTCTCTTGTACTTAAAAGATAAATGCTATTTGCAGCATGCTCACAATGAAATGTTAATCAAAAATGCACTTGAGAAACTCAGCGGATCACCAGAGTCAGTTGGATTCATCCTCTGGGAACCACGACCGTGCATATTTTCATGGCAGTCCATCTAGCGGATGTTGTGGTATTTCGGTCTGGACCAAACTGGGCAGACCTGACCAACATTGCCATACCTAAAGCCACGCTTCCAGTGTGGGTAAAAAAGGTATCTTATTGTCATTATAACTTAAAGAGCAAACTTAAGGATAGCATTATAAATTACATTAACTCAATTGCATGACAAAATAGTGAAAAATAAAGCATACAAACACTGCCTCTTAAAGTACTGCTTATATATTATTGCTCATAATATACTTTGTATAAGGGCTAGAACAAATAAAGTGACAAGTACTTTTTTTGATTGATCATTTAGTTGTTAAAAGGTGCAGAATCAATGGTTATGCTGATTTTTGCTGATTATGCAAGGAATGGCCAGTACAAGTTTCTGAATCACTTTCAACGTGCTGATGTCTGTCTGTGTATTTGCTTGTATTTTATTCAGGGAAGGGCAGGTTTTGTGGCTCAGGGCAGTAACAATGCCAGAGACATGGCCAGGGCTCCGCTCTTCAAATATGTTAATGAAGCCAAGCTCAAGAGTATCAAGACATTTGCAAGTAAGCAGGAGTTCATGTATTCCCCATCACTTACATGCTCATTTGCTAAAAACACTTTTAACAAGCATATGTCTTTTTTAAATGCAGATTTCATCAGCTTGCTGGACAACTATGAGGTGTCTACAGGAGTAGCAGAGACAGTAACTCCAGAGGAGCTTCAAGAGAACAGGCTCTTTATCGATTCCATAATGGAGACGGATGTCATGAAGGTGCGGTAGCGGTAAGAGAGGGAGTCCTCTCTTTAACACTTCTGTCATCAACAAACAAAACAGCCCACTGATCCTACACAGCAGCTTACTCTCCTGGGAACCTCCCTCAAATGTTGACAGAGTTTCAAGCTGTGACAAGTTGAAGGAGGATTTGTTTAATCGCCACTGACGTATCCCACTCGGATGCCTTTTTATAATTATTTAGTTCAAGGACAAATCAGTCATAAAATGTTTAAACATGATGATCTTTGTTTTTCCAAAGCTTTCTCACCATAACAAGAAGCATTTTAGAGGAAACACTGGAATTCATCTGCACATTTGTCCAGCTGTCATGGAGTAGATGCTTCCCTGAGCACTTTAAGGACTTTTCGCCCATGTTGGCTTAAAAGTTTGTTATTGACCTTGTAAACAGTTTCTCTATATCTATAGGCGTCTATCTAAAATTGAAATGTAGACACCAAGAGGCTGAGTAGGGAAAAACTGTCTGCCAGACGTGCTGGTTGTCCAATAATTCCGGGATTCCAAGTGCTGCGTTTTGATGGTTTATTAATAGGTAAAGTTAGGCTGTACAGGTGATCAGTTCCATACAGCGAAAATAACCATAAAATACTACAAACAGTGTGAACCGCGGTCAGCAAAAATGAGGCTTTCTTTCCATCACCCCCTCTCTCTTCCACTAACTGACGATTTCCTAAATTACTACTGACACCACGTGACTAAAGCCTGTGAGCAACCAAGAAAATGGTGTTCAAGAACACATACCTGGCTCCTACAATATCCAAGGCCAAGACTGAATTTTCAATCTCAAAAGTAACCGTAACCCGATAAACTCTCTTTGTGCCCTAAACTGTTCATCTGTACTGTTCTTTGATCCTGTTTTTTACCTGGAAGCCTGAAATGTCATCATACTTTTTGTTTATTTGTTTTTTTCATAGTGTGCTCACAAGTATCTGGTTAAGAAGGGGCAGTCGCCTGCAGACCCTGCACAGTTCAAGAGACAGCTGTATGACATCTGGTTCCGTCTCTACCACAGGGACAGGAGTGGAGGGTGAGTTTCAAAATAACAGCAGGGGGAGCTACTGCAATGTTTAGAGAGACAATCCTGGAAGTCAACAGAAAGAGCACAGGACAGGTTTCTACAGAATAACTGATGGAAGTCAATCTTTGCCATCTTCAGGACCTTTTTTCTGCAGCTCAATTAGCTAAGATGGAGACAGATGAATTTCCTTCTCAAGAATCAATAAGGCATCTAAAAAATATAAATATGAATACATACAGTTATACAACATTTAAACCCTCTGTTCCTATGTTGGTGTTCTTTTTTTCTTTTTTAACCAATAGTTTAGTTATAGTTACTGCATATAGTAATCCTGAAGAATAAATCTTTTGACCAAAAATAAATACGTCAAGGTCCACTCAATAGCTTTTCTGGAGCCTTTAACTACATCTCACGGTCTTCATCAATTAATAGAGCTATGCTCAGTTGTCATCTGTGGACTTTTTTTAGTGTACTTTCATCTTTAAGAATACATCTAAGTGGATGAGTTTAACTTCAATAGTGGTTGATGCTTTTCATTACAGTGAAGATTCCTGTGGATTCGAACATGTGTTTGTGGGAGAAACCAAGTTCGGCCGGGAGATCATAGGTCTTCACAACTGGGTCCAGTTCTACCTGCAAGAAAAAAAAAACCTTGTTGACTATAAAGGCTACAAAGCAAGAGACAACAAAGATACAGTAAGAAAATACTGCCCCACGTTCATTATGAAGATACTGAAGACAATGGTTTTCTGAAAAAACAACAACTTTATTCATGTTTGTTTCAATTAAATACGATACATATATAATAATACTATCTATTTGAACTGTTACTGAATTAGAACAAGTAAATATATGAGTTTTAATTCACTCATCAATCACACAATCATTGTTTTATAGCCTGATGAAGATGACCATGTCCTGAACCTGCAGTTTAGTTGGAAAGGCTTGGTGAAGCCAGTTTGCGGCTGCTTCATCGGTGTCAGTCCAGAGTTTGAGGTGGCCATCTTCACCATCATCTTCCTCATGACGAATGAGAAGATGACAACTGTGGTGGCGAAAGTGGACGAGTACTTGCTGGAGTTGGTTGTTTATCGGAATGGGAAATCCATCGGCACGTCCTTCCCCAAACTGCTCAGCAGTAACAACAGGGATGTGTAATATTACACATTCACCCGAGCAGTCAGCTGTCATGTACCAAATTCTGTCTTATGGAGTAAATAAAATTTCTTTCTTTACATAGTAGTGTTGGCATTTTTATTCTCCTGTTAGTGAAGTTAAGTCAGATAGGTCACAAGATTTAGAAAGATAAAACAAAAGAGCAAATAGTTGGACTATTTTAATGACTGGATAAAAACATGGTAGTGCTTAGCCCCGATTTTGGTCTGTCAGTAGACCTCCTCTTCAACAGCATAAGTCATGGAGAGCTGAAATGAAACTGAAAGTACCAGTTTTTATCATAAGTCATTATCACACCAGGTATTATTTCTGTTTACACAAAAATGCAGCACAAAAACAACAATTTGGCTGCACTGCCTTAGTTAGCTGCACTTCCCAGAATTATATAAAGATATATTAATATGTCATAAAAATAATTATATAGGATATATTATATAATTATTTATTCTCTGAAATTCTGATACATTTAGAAATAATGTTATTCTAAGAATTCTCAATTGTTTTCTTCAGTCAAAAATGATGACATGCTGATGAAATATAGATTTTTTAATTGTTTTTTGTGCATGTTAACTAATTGTACATTCAGTATTCACATTGTTTACTACTTTTTGTATACAGTTAGAAGTCTATCATGTACCAGTGACACAATTTTGTAAATTGTATTGTTAAATTGTTGATTTGCGGTGTTGTATTTACTTCTGTTGCTTCATATGCAGATGACAATTACACATGAACCTGAATCACGTGATGACTGTAAAATATTAACCTAGAGTTAGTACACATGTATAGATTTATTTACTGTCTATTTTATTTATTCACTATAAAGCAGTAAGGGAGTCACGTCTGCCTGGCAGACATGACTCAGGACTAATACTTTGTAGTACTTGACGCGCCCTTGCTTTGCGCATGCGTGGTAAAATAAATCCATTACCATGTCAAACCACAGAAATGAAACTCATCCTCTGAAAACTACCAGGTGAAGTGAACTAAACGCGCAGGTAAAGCCACGTAAAGCTAGATTAAACTCTACTACATGCTTGCTAACGGTGACAGTGCCAGTTGTCTTCTTGCTCATGAACAAACTTTTCGAGTTAGAGGCAAGAAACAAGGTTAGCTAAAAGCTAACAGCTAGCTGTCAGTTGGCAGCTCGTTACTATCTGACAGGGAGCCACCTGACGACCGCTCACATGATTAAACTCCTGCGATCAGACCCATGACATTACACAACTGGAAACAGATTCTCTTGGCGTGTTTGTGTTTGTATGTGTAGTTTGGATCACTGGAGTGCCGCTTAGGGGCTTGTTAAACAACAAGTCACAGCAACAACAACATGTTTGGTAAAAAGAAGAGAGCACCGCAGCCTAAAGGCCAGGGCGCTGCTGCAGCCAAGCAGGTAACAGCAACCCGGACAAACTCTACAGGCGAAATGTTAACTGTAACGTGCTCTCTGGGGAAAGTCTTATCTTTTACTTTATGGTTTCAGATGGGTCTGTTTGTAGACCTGGACCCCGAAGAGATGATGGTGGGTATGGAGGAGAATCTGGACGACCCGGACTTGGAGGCTGAACTTGCTGCTATCACTGGAAATAAAGCTGCTGCTGGAGGAAGAGCCAGGCAGAAAGGGAAAAGTGAGTGCAGTGGTTATAATGATTTATAATCATGTTAACAGTATTAGTTGCCATGATTGGAGTAATATGTGCATGAAGTTGAGGGCCACGGATCTGAGGAGCTTTTCACTTGTATGTGAAGCCGCTTTGGCCCCATGTCAAGTAGTAGTAGATCAATACTAATAATAATAATAAGATATTTGAAGCCGATAATGCTATTGATATTTGAGTTTCTCTCAAACTCAGAGAATGAAATAACACCTGATGTTAATTTTCTTCAGAAACACATAAAACACAATGAATTTTCTTTGGTGACCAGGTCCATGGCAATAGTCCTAATAGATATAAATATAAAAATACGAAATTAAGAAGAAATAACAGTTATAAAAGAATAACAGAGACTACAACCCATAACATAAATGAACATTTTGATGAGGATATGGTTCTCCTAAAACATTTTGCAACCAATAAATGTACTGGGCAGGACATTTTACAGTTGAAAAATGAATGTCACTACTCTCTGGTGGAGAAAGTAGAGCATGGTGACACTCACATCGGCATTTATTTACTTTATTTTCTTGTCATTTATCGGCTGGGCTATACGCCCATCAGTGGCAGACTCAAGCTGGCAGGGTAAATAAAATAACAATACTCTGGAACCACTAATGCCACTATTAACTTTACATTATTACTACATGACAATGTGATATGTGTTGTTGATCTCGCATACAAACCCAGCGGGATACATGGTATCATGTTTGTGTCGTAGACCCGCTGCCCATGGATGACATTGCAAGAATGGCTGACGAGTGTATGAGAGATGTGGATGAGGATGAAGAAGACAGTAACCTGGAAGACGATGAAGATCTAATGGTTGGTGTTTATTTATCTCTGCTCTCATACCGAGGTTTGTAGATTTCAAGGTTCTGGACGAAGTAGGCCATTTACCAGACGCATGTTTTAAATACACAAGAAGGAATTCAAGTAGCTGTACAAAACCTTTTGTTTGGTTGCTTGTGCGCCTTGTGGCCCTCAACCTTGTGGTTTAAAAGTCATGTTGCTTCACACACTCATTGTGAGCCTGTAAGTTGTCAAGTCTTACATTTATTAAATGGTGGACACACAAGTATACTACTTATTGGTCTGAAGTAGCCTGTTGTAAACCAAGTGGTACAAAGCTACATTGTGCTGCAACTTCAGAAGTAAAAGAAGAAAGTTTTCTGTAACTGACACAAATATAGATTTATCTTTAGGGTATTGCCCTACGAATTACAAAAATTCCCAGAGCAATCCCACTGTCAATATGATTCATTTCTAACTGCGTGGTGGACGAGACAAACTTTGGAAAATGTAAGTGATAATTGTAAATATTTGTCCTTTGAACTGAAACATCATGCTGCACAAACTCTTTTTTTCCCTTTTTGGATCTCCTAGTTTTCTCTCCATTGAGAATTAGGATCAATAAAAAGGCAAGTTTAATTGTATAGCACCTTTCAACAAGATATAAAAGAAACACAAGGCAACATAACATTACATATTATATAAGCAAAATTAAGTAGACGTTTAAAAATAAACTACAATTGAATACACATTAAAGTGAAGAATAGAATTTACAGTGCAATGCACGATATGAGTGATTAGTGGAGATGGAGGTGGAAAAAAGAAAAGCCTGAATTTTTAATTATTAGCATAAAAAAACTTAAGAGTTGGACCAGACCTCAATTTCTGGGAGTTTGTTCCGGATATGTGTTGCATGAGAATGCTGCTTCTTCATATTCAGTTTTGGCCGTAGAGACAGTAAGCAGACCTCTCCCAGGCGACAGGCATAGCAAGCCTTTCACACACAGGACGTCAGTGCAAAGAGTCCTGGAGGGATGTTTTCCACTTTGTTGTGGAAGTGAGGTAGCCGTGTTCTGAATGAGCTGCAGCTGTCTGATAGGATCTTTACTGTAATCTGCAAAGAAGACATGCCTGTAGTCAAGCCTACTAAAGATAAAAGCAGGAACAAGTCCCACTATAAGTCCTTTAATTCTTGATAAACTATATTCGTAATGTGACTTTGTTTGTCACAAAGTTGATGTTCCTACAAACATGTGGAGTTATTTATCCAGACACTGATCCTCGTCTCAACCCTATTAAACAGCTGGACAGGTGCAGACGTACATGTAATACTCAGCTATGATAACCATCAGAGTCACATGTGTACAGATTGGCGGCTTACGGAAGACTTGTCACACACTCTGCACATCTTAAATCCAGCCTTGCATATGACCAGTAAAAGTTGGCTGTAGATCGGTTGCTTTACTTTCCCCCCATCAGGCAGAGCTACAGGAAGTGGTGGGTGAAGAGGAAGATGAGGATGCTGTAACTGCTTCCTCCACATCCTCTGCCACCGCTGAATCTCAAGCTGAAACGCCAGAGTCCCCACCTCTGCAGGTACAATACTTGTTGTTCTCTGCCTTCTTTGTAATTGAGACCACGAACCACAAAACAAGCATGTCAAATAACGGAAAATTTTAGCTGTTGCCGGTGACAGGAAATCATGGACGTATCTGGCCATCTTGCCTCCTGCTGGTGAACAAAATTAGCTGCTTAATTTTATCCTAAATCACCTCTATATATAGCTATATCTTCAAACAATAGTTGGTTACTGAATAATGTGGCCTGTAGAATAGATGCACTGTTTCCTGGTAAGTCTGTGCTTTCTTAAAATTTATCCCACTGGTATTTCTGTCTACTTGAAATGCTTTGTGTGCTTACTATTTCAAACAAGCGATTAAAGATTAGATATACACATGTAGAAATAGCGATCAGGTTTTTATTTCCTCCTATTGTGTATCTGTGACAAATACTTTGTTCTCAACCCACACTTCTTCCTGCTTAGTCATTCTTGACCTAGCATAGATTTACCAGTTGTTTTCAGATAATGCTGACGGTACCTGCCTGTTGTTTTGGTGAAGCAGCAGGTAGTAAAGGTCTCCTCAGCGGCGGTCGGCAGCCTTCAACACACCCTGGAGGAGAGAGCAGCCATGTACAAGACAGCCTTACAAAACGCAAAGACTGCAGGGGAGACCTCCAAAGCCAGGAGGTACGATCGCGGACTGAAGGTGAGTGAAACTGCTGCAAAGATGTATGCTCAAAGTGCAGAATTACAGCAACAGTCTTCATTATGAATTATTGTCTCATTGTTAAAATATGGGATGTTGTACAGGAAAGGGTATCATGGGATTGTCAGATGTAATGAAACGAGAGACAGATTAGTTTTTGTTGTTTATGGCTTTATTTATTGTGGCTGAAAAAATAATTTACCAATGCTTTATCTGTCATAAGCCGTTAACTAGTACAAGTGCAAGGTTGCGAAATATTTATATTTATCCGTTTTTTGGTAATAATGTTAGAAAGTTATGTTTGTAATCTATTCATAAATGGTAACTGCAATTCTAATGAGCCATAAAGTTTAAACTTGTAAGTGTTCATAAGTCATTAATAAAGTATAGTAAATATTAATAAAGATAATAATCAAGTTTGCATTTGTAATTTGTTAATAAGGTGTTGATGAATGAATTTAGCCTTTTCCTAACCAGTCAAAGGGATTTTTCACAACCCAAACGCTGTTCTTATTAATGGTTTATAATTGATCTATAAAACATTAGTAAATGAATTACCTCTCTAGAAAGTGACACAAATTTAGGACACAGTCAATGATTGTCCATTATCTTTAATAATAAATTTAATTAAATAATAAACGAAAAAAATACAATAACTCTCAAGATATTTACTCATTTCCTTGTGTTCGTAGTTTTGTTTGTTATTTGTGCCTGGAGTTACTGGGCTGGAAATCCTATCCAATTGTAGATGATAATGAATGTAAATTTTGGTTTCTACAGACTCTGGAGTCGATGTTGGCTGCTGCGAAAAAAGGGAGACCAGTGAACGAGGGAGAGATCCCTCCTCCTGTTGCAGCTGGAGCCCCAAGTGCCGCCCCTAAGCCAGCTGTTCCCAAACGACCTGCTCCCTCTGTACCTTCTCCCTCTGAATCCACTCATTCGGATCAACAGGGGCATTCGGAGGCCACGCCGTTACCGCCTGCTGTACCAGAGATCATCACCCCCAGCAGCGAAGAAGAGCAGTCGTCCTCCGCCGCCCTGCCCACTCTGAGCAGCGTCTCATCTCCAGAGGAGCCGATAGAGGAAACGGCCAACCAGCCTCAGACACGTGAGTTGGATTATACAAAGTTATATCAGTGATGATATTAGGTATCTAAAGGGGGTTGAAAGGTGTAGATGTTGCCGTATTGTTTCCCAAACATTGCTTAGGATTTGTAAAAAGCTGGAGTTGTGAGCTTGTGGACTCAAGGAAATATTGAGTATAATTTTTGGCCTTAAATTTGAGACCAGTTGGTGGGATGTTGGTGCAGTAGGCTAAATAATCCATAAGTAAACTTTATTTTAATACTTTGATCTTTAATTTGATTTCCCATTCTGTAGTCCAGCACACTTTGCACATTGCAATTGTAAACAAATTGCAGGGAATGGGTATTTCTGGCTTTCTCAGATTTATCAGTAATGGTGACACGTTTAGTTTAATTAAGGTTTGTGTGTGAAATTATTTTTAGTATTTATTAATGTGTTTTTCAGACAGATAGATGAAATTGTTGAGAAAAGTGGTTGTCTTCTAGCTTCTCAGTATCTGATGAATGTGGCTTTTCACTGTGGTAATTGTTCTCTTTCTATCCCGTGAATCCACAGCGGACGAGGCGACCAAGGCAACACTTTTGGAGAGGCAGAAAGAATACAAGATGGCAGCTCTGAGAGCCAAGAAGCAGGGAGACGTGGAGCAGGCTAGGCTTTACTTTAAGACAAGTAAGGTGAGTAAAAGACTACAACCCTAAGTGATTTGTGTAAAACCAAGACAGTGTCTCCTGTGCATAAATTTGTATCAGCCGTGTCGAGTACAAAACAAAGGTCTGTCTGTGGTTTGCAAGAATTGTATTCTCAGTGAATAGTATTATTTTAACATGGTGTTCTGGAAACTACTGTGTGGGGGAAATGTGTTAAATAGATGATTAGTAGACTAATGTGTTGAAATTTCATAGATAAAAAACGCATGTGGTATCTGTTTATTTTGAGTCAAATAAAATGGCTTCAATGCTTTTTACAAACTTGCACAACGTGTATGATGAAATTCTTGTACAATATCAGCAGGATAAATCACTATTATCTTCCCCTTATCATTAAATATGTAGTTGACGAGCTACAACTGTCCAAGTAAAATACAATTTTTACACATAATAAAGCTTTGTTTCTGCCGGAACTGGAAGCAGCATTCAAACTACTTTGCTGAGCAAAGCAAGTTTCTGCTGTAGGAATGTAGCAGCAGCAACAGCAGATATGTTTGTGATAATAGACACATAACACATTGTGTTTTGTTTTACCTGATGCCTTGCAGGATTATTGCTAGAAAGAAAATATCTTCTTACTTGTTTCTGTTCAGAATTATGGTCTTGTACTAAACTTAAATCAACATCTTCAGTTCAGATGCCAGACCTCAGTCAGGAAACTTGAAGGTGTTTTAATGTCTCAGAAATATTTATGTTTTGATATTCAAAGGGAAAATACAATTACGCATCATTATTTGTGCAGTCTGTTGTATGAGTCTGTTGCTGCTTATTCCGACTGCGGGATTTCTCTCAAGTATGTGAAACATGCCAACAATTTGGACATTGACAAAGACCACTATTATGTTTGACAAGAGTTTGGGTTTTTGGTATTCTTTGGGTGCAGAGGTTTGATGCAGTGATTGAGGCGCTGGAGAAAGGACAAGCAGTCGACCTGAGTGGCCTTCCTCCATCTCCGGGACAGGGTAAGGAATTTTAGTAAGCAAGCAGAAATTACACTATGATTTACAGGAAGAATAATAGGGAAAATATAAGAGACAGAAGCAAACAAAGACAGATAAGTCTGTAACACACAAGAAAGAAAGAAAGAAATAAGAAGTAATTGCACAGGTGACTTATGATCAATCCTAAATAACAACAGGAGCAACATATTGTCAAACAGCTAACTATTTGAAATGTTTCGTTTTTTAACAAAAACCTTGGATTATATTGACAGACACGAGAACAAAATAGTCTAGAGACCCAACAGAGGTCACAGGGATCTTCCAGGAAGGGAATATAAATAAGGAAATGTATAATCGGCAGCTTCATAAAGAAATATCTTCAGCAAATGTATTAAAACAAGTAATTTTTCTGGACAGAAACCTGCTGTATCTGCTTCTGCATGTTTATCTTGTGTTATTGTGTTATAGGAACAGGAGGCAGCTTGACTCCAGTGAAGGAACCCTCCTTTGGGCAAAATATAGAAGTCACCCAACCGGTTGCAGCAGCTCCAGGTAAAGATAATTTCAACTTTTATCCACCATATGAATTCACTTTTATTGCTGTTGTTTCTGACCATTCATGTAGTTCCGTTTTCAATTACCTACTTACCTTAGTATTTATATGAACCAGCTCGAGTCAGCTTGACATTTAACATAAGAGGTGACTTCAAAGAGGAGGAAACACTTTGCTTGTGTTGTGCACAGCATGCTTATGTAGAAACACGTCTGCAAAGACCGTTTGAAATAACAACAACCATACATTGACATGGCAGATAATGAATCTTAATGACGATTTTGCAGGCTGCCATGAGGGAACAGTTGAACACAGGATGCAGTCAAACAAATGCTACTTGTCACTTAAGCCATGTAGCAGACAAAAGAAGTTTTCCCAAAAGACCAACATACTAGTCTGTCACACATCAGCAGACGGGTATCGAAGACTGATACTTTTTGACTACCAACCAAATTGCCTCCACAAAACTGAGCATGTTCGCATGTAGCTAAGTAGCCTCACAGCGTTGGTTTGGACTCTTAATCTTGTTAGTTTTGGATGCAACACATATTGAGAAACTCTTGTTTACTCTCATTGTTGCCTCCCTCCCTCAGGCCCTGCTCCCTCATCAGCCGCTGCAGCTCCCAAAGACGTGCTGGAGGCTCTCGAGCAGAGACATGCCAAGTATGTGGAGGCGTCTAATCAGGCCAAAGCCAGTGGAGATGACCGCAAGGCCAGAATGCACGACCGTATAGCCAAGGTACAAGGAGAGACTCTCCTCCTGATGTCTGTATTTACCTTTACAGAACTCTACTGAAACTGTGTTTGTCGGGTTTGGTCTTGCTACATGATTGCCTCTCTGTTAAAGGTAAATGGTACCAATATAGGTAAAAGGTACCAATATAAATGTTTAACCTTTGTCAATATGGACATGCTACACAGTGCTAGATCTTTTAGATTTTTGATAATTCAATCATTGAGTCCATTTCATGGCAGATTTAACATCACGAAAAACAAGAGAGATGGAAAAAGAGATGACTCCCTACCTTTTGAAGCAGTCATTAAGTCTAAATATCTGTCCATTCCTAGATTATTTTCTGTTCCTTTAGTCCTAACGGTCCAGCGATCAAAAGAATCAGAACTTTCATAAAAATTCATCAAAGTTGGAGTAATTACAGTAACCTTTACCCCCATTACAGTAGCATTAGCTACTAAAATATTTAAACTCTTTCCTCATGCAGCAATACCAGAGTGCCATCCGAGCTCACAAAGCAGGAAAATCAGTGAACTTTGAGGAGCTTCCTGTTCCCCCTGGTGAGATTCTTTTGTGATTCATGTTTTTGAGTTGACAAAGTAATTTTTAAAGTTACTTTTAGCTACGTAAAATTGGATTTGAATTGTGTTTCTGGTTCTGTAGCCCTGGGTTGTTATTGTGTATGCTGTCAGTGAGTCTCTGAACCAGCGCCACAAGACATGTTGACCAAAAGAGTAAATATAGATCGCAGTGTATGAGAACTGGTAAACCAGACAGAATGAGAGTTTGCTTTTGTCTCTCAGGTTTTCCTCCAATCCCGGGCCAGAAGGCGACAGGAGCTGAGCAGGGATTCATTGCTGCTCTGGAGGCAGCCGATAAGCTTGCCTCCACTGATGCTGCTGAAATAGCAGATGAAGATGAAGAAGACGAAGAGAAGGTGGGCTATCACCAGTATAAAATAATTTTTTGATTAGGTTTTTGTGGATTCATTTTTAATGCAGTGTTTTGCGTTGGTTGCAGTCTAAGCCGGCTGTTCCAGAAGAGCCAAAGAAGCCGACGTCGGACGTTCCCACCGCAGGTGAAGGAAGGAAAAGGACTCCGGCTGCTTCTCCTGACAGAACAGCCGCCAGGGAAGGACTCTCAATTACAGGTCTGCCCCCAAAAGGAAACATGTCCTCAAAAACACTCTTTTCAGCCTCTCGTTTAGCACGTCACAGAAGTCCAATTAATTTCTGTAGCAGTCTGACAGGAAGTAGCACAGTTCTGTGATGTAAGCTGGACAATTTTCTAAACAATTTTGGAAGTTTTAGTTTGAGTTTATTAGTTTTATTATGAAAGAAAACAAATAACACATTAACAAACACGACAGAAATTAACAATGAGAAATGCAACTACGCAACAATACTAATTAAAACTGCTGTAATTAATTAATTGATTACTCAGTCAACATAAAATTAACTATTGTGATAACTTATTAATTGTTTGTCATTTTCCAAGCAAAAATGTCAAGTATTCTTCTGTTCCAGCTTCTCAAAAGTGACGATTTACTATCATATATGACAGTAAATGATTGTCTTTTGGCTTTAGAGTCAGATAAAACAAGCAAAATCAAGATGTTACCATGGCTCTAGGAATGCTATTTTATCACAATATATTTTTCTTTTCACGATTGAGAAAATAATCAGCAGATTATTATTGGCCCTGGTATTAATAATGTAACAGATATTGTCCAGACAAGAACAAAAACACTGCACATCTTTCACACACAGGTTCCCCATCAATGACTTCAGCCGTGCTGCAAATCACTTAACTTTATTTGGAAGTGGAAATTTTCCAGACACGTTAATATTTTATTTATTGATTTTATTTTTAGGTTTGGTGTCTACCTTTATCTTGTTCCTGAAACACAGAACCATTAACTATTAACATTTTGAAAATGGTGACATCAGCTTTTATTATCACATCACGTAGCAACTGTGTCCTCAAAACTTAAACCACTTGAATGCCAGGCATATCATGTACTCAACATCCCGTGTTGAAACAACATACATCTTCTAAACACATTTTTTTTATTATTGCTGCGATGCAGTTTGCATTATTTCCACCATTTCTTGTCTCACACTGAGATAATGAGCACAATAATGTGCAGTTCTAGGAGTAAACCTGCTTGGTATATTTGGATTGAGAATGAATTTGATTCATAAAAATAACATATTATTAATTATTCTCACCTAATATATTTGACTGCTGCTGCAGTTTGTCAGAGTGCAACGACTGACAGTGGTTAAGAGTCAGTAAGATATTGATGTTACACCTTTGAAAAAGTTGACATCAGCTTTATTGAAAGTACGTTTCAAGAAAGCGATTTTAAATAAATAAAATTCAGAGATTAAGTGAGGCAAGACAAAAAACATCAGGATTTACGTGTTTTTGCAAAGGTTTTAAACATGACATCACGGTCACTTGTATCACACACAAGGGTAAAACTATAACCAGAAGAGACCGTGGTGGAGGACCACAATGAAAACAAGCTTTGTTGTGTTTTTATCCTCGACAGTTTAGTTTCATGTCAGAACTGGGTGACCACTGTCTTGTAATTATCTTTTGTCAAATAATTCTTATCTGCAGTATAACTTTAAGGTATGTCAGCTGTCAGGCAGCAGCACAGTACTGTGGTTATCAACTGTGTAACAGAGTAAGACAGCCATAATAATCCTTATATAGCACTAAAATTACATCTAGATGTTTACCGTCTATTTACTTTAGATCTTCCATCTTTCTTTGTCCTCCAGCGACTCAGCAGCTGGAGCTCCTGGAGGGCAGGAAGAAGCAGTACATGAAGGCAGCTCTGCAGGCAAAGCAGAAGAACGACATGGAGCAGGCCAAGAGTTTGCTCCGCACCGCCAAGGGCTTCGACCCCATAATTGAAGCAGCGCGCAGCGGCAAAACCGTGGACATCAGCATGGTGAGCAGACACTTACTCTGCAGCTGGAAGTCAAGTGAATATCAGAAATAGGCCTAATTCAGTCAGTAGAAATGCATCTCAAATACTTTCTTCTGAATATAAATGACTTTGGTACATAGAGGTTAGTATTTGTTTTTTTTGTTTCAGGAGTTAAAAATGTTACATTATAACATTGTATTTCTGTCTTGCATGTGGGACATTGTCTCAATTAAGATTTTTTTCTGATTAATTTTCCACCCCTAGAATAAGTCAATTCTAACTTCTTTATAGTGTGTCAGTGCCGCTGAGGGCACAAAATATTTACCTGTATTATTTCTGATATTACATGTTCTGAGCTATCTAAAGGTGCATTTTTACCACTGTCACTTAAATCGCCTAATTGGGACAAAATCGTAGAATCATGGTGGAGATATTGTATATTGGTAATCCCAGCTGTGGCTGATCCTCTGTGTGCTGTACCTGTAGGTGCCGTCGCCCCCCTGGTGACGAAGACGGAGACTTCATCCTGATTCATCACAGTGAAGTTCAGATCTCAGAGAAAGCAGAGCAGGTTTACACACAACTGGTCAAGATCCTCAAAGAGCAGCATGAGGTAAAACTGTTGTAGAGACTTTGTAGAAATATATAAAAATGAAAATGTTGATTCAAAAGTGTCCAACCAGAGCATCATGTTTTATTAGGACATGTTATCAGGATAAATAAGTTTATCATCTTCATTTTTTTAATGCTGTCATTGTAACAAACTAGCACTAAAAGTAGACCTAGAATAGAAACAAGATGTATTTTTTATGTATATATATATTTTTTTTTGTATATGTTCCTGCATGGATTACAACCTTATCAGGGTTTACAAAATAACAACAGATACTAATACTGATATCAAGTCCCTTTTTTATTACTTTAATCCAATTAATCTTATTTCCATCCTGTATAGACACCTTATTTTGAACGTTGTCACATGTGTCTTCTCGCGCTAAATTCATCAAGTTCGACCCAAAATTCATCAAGTTCGACCCAGATGGAGTGGATGTGCTAGGAGACAATTCAGCAGAATAGTGTCTGCAAACAGCGTCTTTCTCAGACACTTTAAAGTGCTTCCACACTGCTGACATGTCAACGTAATTGTTCGGTAAAATGTGTTCAGTCTTTCCGAACACCGAGGCCGATTAATTTCAGTGGCTGCATCCCTACTTCAAAGAGAAGAATTCCCATCATCATTTTCAGCTCTCCTCCTGATGCCAAAAATAAATAAATAATATTTTTTCCATATTCCCTGTCTGGTTTCTCTGCGCTGTTCTTTTCTTGCTGTGAAAACAAACATATATCTGAGATTTCTTCTGGCTTTCCTCCTTTTAGAAATGCATCACTCACTCCAAGCAGTTCACACACCTGGGGAACGTCACTGAAACAACAAAGTAAGCAGTAAACAGTTTTTTATTTTGTTAACAGTAACGTACAAACTCTAAACACTCAGAACAGACAGAAATGTGATACCAGAGCCCAAAGAGTTGTTATCAGAAAACAACAAGTTCATGTATTTTCTTTCTATTTGTGTATTTCATTATACTGTAAACCTGATTAGTCAAATCCTGATTTTTGTGTGTGCTCCAGGTTTGAGAAGATGGCGGAGAGTTGTAAGAAAAGTCTGGAGGTCCTGAAGCTGGCTCAGTCCAGAGGTCTTCCTCCCCCTAAACATCACTTTGAGGAGAGATCATTTCACACTGTCAGGTGGGCACATTTTTCTTACATTATACTGCAAAAGTGCACAGTTAGCTAAACTCTTTAATCTTTCTGCTTCATCAACATTGGAAAGAATCCCTACAAGTGACTCCCAGGGACACCCTTCGTTTTTGTTGACACCCTTCATAATGTTGTTCGACATCTCGTATAACAGTATGAGCCTTTCGGTGGAAAAAAAAAGCACTTTTTATGGACATGGTCATTTTGAGGAAATGCGTTGCAGGCACTGCAGCCAGTTTTCGGATGCCAGCTGAGGACATCTACTGCACTGATTCCAACATTTTTTGTACCTACTAGTCATTTAGACACCTAAATATGTGAAATAGGGCCGGGTTTAATAACACCAAAATTACATTTTAAAGCACCTGGAGACAAATTGTGGTTTGTGAGATATATATATATATATATATGAGAGAGAGATATATCTCTCTCTTGTCTCGTCTCACTGGTAAATTTAACAACGCTCCCCCACTAACGCAGCACCCTGTGTTGTTTTACGGCAGATCAGTCTGAAACCCTGCTGAGAAACAGAGTTGGATCAATAGTTTCATTAATACCTCTCTGACAGTGTAAATCAGAACTGACCATGGCTAAGCTGTTGTATTGGATTGCATCAGATTTTGCAGGTCTACCTAATTATTAATACTTATTACTTTTTTCTTTCCCTACCTTTCAGGATATTTCCAGAGCTGAGCAGCACTGACATGGTTGTTACTATTGTCAAAGGGATGAATCTTCCAGCTCCTAGTGGTAAAAACAAAAATCTTCACCCATCAGTCCTTTTATACAGTACAGTAGGTCTGTTAGTACTAGAACAATGGTTCTGAAAACACTGAAAAGTCACGTTTTATACTAAATTCAAGTTTGTTGTGGTTCAGGGGAAAAATTAAACCTTAAATCTTATGTCTTAAACAGACCTAGCTTCAGGTCATTAAGGCCAAATTCAGTCAAATATTTAAGGTCTGGTTTGAAAAGAAAAAGCACACACTGGTTGATGCTTTGTGATAAACTTTCTCGCAGGAATCCAAACAAATGACCTAGATGCCTTCGTCAAGTTTGACTTCCCCTACCCCAGCACGGTAAGTGATTCACTCTACCAGCTCTTCACAGCCACCGCAGGCTGCTGAGACGATTCATACAGGTGACTTTACTCCTTTAAAAGTGTGTCTGTTTTGTTGCCACCAGGAGCAGCCGCAGAAACACAAAACAGCGGTCATCAAGAACACTAACTCCCCAGGTGAGACATGTACATTGTCATGTGTTTGCATCATTTTATTGGCATTTGTGGATATTTTATTTTCATTTGTCTAAACAATCAAGACACAAAACTCTTCATAAATGATGTCAATCCACTGAAGAGTAACTTTGATATCTTTAACCTGGACCTTTTTCAACCTAATTTTCACATGTTTTTGGGTCTATGTGTGTAATTAGGACAAGATTCTTTGAAATTGGTCCAGTCTTGAGTGAGCGCGTAGCAGTCAGTAGAAACAGCTGCAGCGTAATCCTTGAAGGCAATTGCTCTAACGTTAAAATTCATCCGCTAAAGCGTTTATTTTTTTTGCTATTGACAGGCTCAGATTGTTACTACTAGTGTCTGACAATGTTGTGGAAAGATCCCTACAGAGGTAGACTTAAGATCATTTTTGTTTAACCAGAAACAGTTGCTATATCTCTCTCGAGATCAAAGCTCCCAGACTCTCTGGTCTACTGCTTCCTCAAACTGATACTTTGTGTTATTTTGTGACTTTGGTGTTTTAACCCTTTTAAAGCTCTAAAGTCACACAATAAATAACACAAACAAACAAACTGACCGGGGCAGCAGTAGAGCAACCTGTGTTCTGCGAGATAAAAGTACTGTTTGTATCCATGGAGTCTGGTAGCTTTAATATCGAGAGCGATAAAGTGACTGTTTCTGGTTAAACAAAAAGGTCTACCTCTGAAGGGATCTTTCCCACAATGTTGTCAGACACTTATAATAACAATCTGAGCCTGTCAGTGGCAAAAACTACTACTAAGCACTACTTTGCTCTACGTACTTTGACAGGGCGCACCTGCCCGCAAGGATTAAGTTGCAGCCATATTTTGCTACTGCCGGCTGCAGCTACACCAATTATTGTAAATGTTTTTTTTTCCATTTTATATCTTGTTATTTTTGGGATTATTTTCTAAGACACATTTACGTTTAGGAGTGATTTTATTACAAAATAGTCAAGATAAAAATAAATCAATGTGAAGATGTTTTCTGTCTTAAGAATACAGTATATGGAGAATTAGATTTGGTTCACAACAGTCACAATAACAAAAACATTGTAAGAGAAAAGAAGAAAAACAAATTTTGCAAAAGTCAAGAATGCTAAATATGATATAAAATTTACAAAAAAAAGTAAAATAAAAACAGTTTTTTAGAATGAAAAGAGCTGCTCACTGTTTCAAAACAAAGAAGGTGGAAGTATTGACTAAATGTGGAAATGTTGCAGCTGTGCAAATAAATGAAGGTTAATATGGATGAACCGTTTTTATGGTTTATTTGTGTGAAATACTGTATGTGTAAGGTCTCAGAAGGCAGCTTCTCCATCTGTGCTCTCTTTTCACCAGAATATAACCAGAGTTTCACCCTGTCAATCAACCGGAACCACCGCGGCTTCAGGAGGGTGGTGATGTCTAAAGGCCTCAAACTGGAGCTGCTGCACAAAGGGTGAGTCACAGAAAGCTGCTCACGCCGCAGGGCAACATCCTCACTTAGCTAGTAGTTTGGTCATCGACAACAGCAGAAGGACCGGAAACGGTGAATGTGATGGTATTTTTGGAGTGTGTGACTCAAATGTCAGAAGTCAAAGCTTCTTGTGTATGTATGAATCCTTCTCTCTATGCCTATCTATACATATATACATATGTGTATGAGACAAGAGTTCAGAATTTCAGCTTTCATTTCCTGGTATTCACATCTAGATGTGTTAAACAATTTAGGACATATCACCGTTTGTATTAGACAGCATTGTTAGGTGAGCAAAAGTAACAAATAACATAACATTTAATATTTGATGGCATAGCCCTTCCTTGCTATAACTGCCTCCTGATGAAGTCCTTTGTTTTGTTGGCAGTGTGCTTTGGCTCATTGTAAACTGCTGCATGACAAACTTCCTCCCCATTAGTTTCAATGCATTTCTCCGTAAATTGGCAGACAAGATGTTTCTGTCCACTTCTGAATTCATTCTGCTGCGACCATCATCAATAAATATTAATGAACCTGTTCCAGAAGCAGCCATGCACGCCCAAGCCATGACATCACCTCCTCCATGTTTCACAGATGAGCTTGTATGCTTCAGATCATAAGCGGTTCCTTTCTTTCTCCACACTTTAGTAGAGATTAATCTTGGTCTCATCAGTCCATAAGATTGTGTTCCTGAACTTTTGCAGCTCATCTCTGTACTTCATTGCAAATATCAATCTGTTCTTCCGATCCTTCCTGCTGATGAGTGGTTTGCATCTTGTGGTGTGGCCTCTAGATTTCTGCTGAGTCTTCTTCCAACAGTGGATTGTGATACCTTCACCCCTGCACTGTGGAGGTCGTTGCTGATGTCACTTACTGATGTTTTGGGGGTTTCCTTCACAGCTCTCACCATATTTCTGTCATCATCAACTGTTTTCCTTGATCGACCTGTTCGACATCTGTTGCTCAGTACACCAGTAGTTTCTTTCTTTTTCAGGACGTTACAAATTGTTGTGCTTGCTATGCTCAATGTTTGTCCAATGGCTCTGGTCGATTTTCCTTCATCTCTCAGTTTGACAGTGGCTTGCTTTTCCCCCATAGACAGCTCTCTGGTGTTCATGTTGGTTTATCCTCTTTAACAGGAAACGCAGTCTTTATAGGTTTGAACCAGTCATGCAGAGCTATTTAATGTTTGGACAATCAACCTAAAAGGCAACACCTGGGCAACAAGAAACATCTGACAGTCACATGTTCCAATAGTTTTGCTCCCTTGAAAAATGGGTGGAATCAAACAAAGGGTGGTATGTCCTGAGGTGTTTAAAGCATCTAGATGTAAATACCAAGAAATGAGAGCTGAAATCCTGAATTCTTGTCTCGTACTCACCTTTTGATCTTAAATCCAAATATCTTCAGTGAAAAACAAAGGAATTTGCCTATTTACCTTACCGTAACAATACTTTAAGAGGGGACTGCATCTGTCTCTCGCTCACTCTCTCTCTTTCTCTTCTCACAACTGCATTCATGTCAGAGTAGATGAAAGTAAGCTTCAGTGTTGTCGTGTTCAGACTGTGGCAGTGATGCTGTCGATGTGTCGTCTCACAGCGGTTTCTTGCGGAGCGACAAGCCAATCGGGACGGCCCTTGTAAAGCTGGACAAACTGGAGTCACAGAGCGAAGTCAGAGAGATCGTAGAGGTGAGTCGCCTTTTACATCGAAAACTAAGCCGATCGAGAGAGAGGAAAGATCAGGAAGGAAGTTTGTTGCTGAGTTTGATCCTGACAACGTCCACAGAAACAAGTCTTGTTCTCTAAGATGCTCACTGATGACTTATGTGCCTGTAAACATCCGTAACTTAGATCCTCGTGTCTCTCATGACAGGTGATGGACGGGCGTAAGGCCACAGGAGGTCGTGTTGAAGTGAAGATCCGACTGCGGGAGCCTCTGAGCGGACAGGACATGCAGACGAGCACCGAGCGCTGGCTGGTGATCGATCAGTCGCAGGTAACATGAAATACACGGTGTTAATATTTTAGTAACCTGAGGTTGTGTAAAACTTCTGATGTTGGTTGTTTTTATCTCCAAGGTTCTTGTTTAGATGCTGCTGCAAGATTAAAGATGATCCACAAGATAAAGGTAATTTTCTTCCTCCTTTTTCTGTCTGAATTGTTTGTTTACTTAATATTATTCTGCTTTAAACTCTTTCAGCTAAAGGCATAGTAGGAAGGTTGATATGATGCATGTGAAAAACGATACTACTTGCTTGGCTTAGCATAAAGTCGAGGGGGAAACGGCTAGCCTCACTCCGTCCAAACGTGACAAAATTCCCCTGCCAGCACCTTTTTTTTTTTTAAAAGCTCACAAATTTACACATTCACAGCCTGTTTGTTTAATCTGTACAAAACCAAAGTGTAAAAACAACAATTTGTGGGTTTACTCTTTGAGTTATATAGCGGACTGTGTTTTAACTGGGAGCAGTGACTTCCAGGAGGTTATAAATAATTTAGTTAATGAGCTTAGCAAGCTGTTTTCCTGTCTTCGTTAGTTAAGCTAACCTGCTGCTGGATGTAGCTTCATGTTAGTCTACAGATATGAGTGTGGTATCAGTCTTCACGTGCAACTCTTGGCAAGCAAGCCAATGAGCTTTCCCGAAATGTTGAACTATTCTTTTACGTGTAGGTATTCGAGTATGATCGAGCGTGACCCTCCTGACTGATAACAACTTCTTTGTCTTGCAGATTAAAGGCACTCAATTAGAAACACTGAGGAGGACGGGGTTTGGGATGTTGTGATGAGGACGGTCTGTCGTTCAGACTGGACTCTGACCTACACGGGTCTTTGACTTGTTCAAATGTTTTTGCACATTTGCGAGACACAAGCTCTCCCTTTCACACTGCAGTCCCCCAGGAGGAGACATGGATCTGGTTTACAGTAGTTCAGCTGATCTGGCTCAGCGACAGGAAGCTCTTCAGTCTGAGCAAATGGTGACTCCATTTAAATCGAGGGAAAGGTTGTTCTCTCGTTCGTCATCATCTGTAAACTGTAAGCTCGTGATGCATCAGGCAGACGAGGTGGTAGGCTCCTTGTGACATTTAAACCAGAGAAAACTATTCAGGCAATGATTACAGTTGTCTCTTTGTGCATCGCTCCATCTCCTGGATGTGTCCTCTGCTAATGTTGAAGGGGCTCAGTGTCGAGCTAACTTGATCCTGCTGCCCCACATAACTCTAGTTAATATATCAAAGAATGTGTACATATTCCTCACATTATACAGCTCTGGTATCTAGAACTGCACCTATGCACTAATACCAAAGTAATCACTGTTGCTGTAAAATCCTGCATATTTGAAATCGCCTTTACCTGCCAAACCTGTTACAATGATGAGAGCTTTACATGTGACGGGACGCTGACGGGCTGTTTTATTATTTTCCCACACAATTTGTCTGGTTTGAGAACGCAGGCGGATGCAGCACCCTCACAGATGTTACAGGAGTAAGCCAATAAATTATGATACTATACAAGGTACGATTTATGTTTTATTGTTTTGAAGACCACACTCGCTTACTTTGACTAATAAATCCTCTAGCTAACTGGGGTCACTAAACTGCACTCTCACTTATCTGTGGCTTTTGGTGTGTTAGATTTATATTTGTCTTGTTTGCACCTAGTAGCACATCAGCTGAGTGTGTCTGATCTTTGTGTAACAAAATGTGCTTCAGTCTAAAAAGCTAAATATTCATTTTATTACAAAGCAAACATCCATTATTGCACAGATAAGGAGGTTAAAAAGTAATTTTTAAATGAACATCATTGGATGACTGAACTTTAATCTCATCCTGTATTTTAGTTTAAGGAATAGTTGAACCTTTTGGGAAATTAAAGATGGGGCTGTAGTCTGGAGGCAATTAGCGTAGCTTAGCGTAAAGACTGGAAGCAGGTTGAAAACGGCACTCTCCAAAGTTCAAAAATACACCTCCTAACACCTCTAAAGCTCAGTTATTAACATGTCGAATCTCATTTGTTTGGTCTGTACACAAACTGAAATGTAAAAGTTTCAGAGGGTGTTGTAAATATGTCTTGCCAATTGACTTCCGAGAGCCTCATGGTAACAACAAGACTCCAGTGAAGTCAGCTTTAGGTTTTTTACTTTGGACAGAGCTAGGACTGTCACCCTGCTTCCAGTCTTTATGCTAAGCTAAGCTAATTGCCTCCTGACTCCAGCTCCATCTTTAAACACACAAACAAGAAAGATCTTCTCATCAAACTCACAGCTAGAAAGCAAAGAAGTGTTTTCCAAAATGTTGAACTATTCTTTTTGTTAAATACGTTATACAACTATGCAGCAGGTACTGAATATTTTCATGATTTGTTTTTTTTTTTTTAAAGAGCCAGTTCACCCAAATTACAAAAGGCTTTATATTTTATTACCTTTTGCGGCATCAACCCACGCAGACTGGATTTGTTTTGTGCTGCTCAAAGCTTTAAAAGAAGTCTTTAAAGTGAAAACTTTAAATTTGAACACCTGTGGTGAGATGGTTGTGTTCATTAACGTATCAAAGTAAGTAGTTTCATTGGAGAAACTTTCTACCTAAGACTTATTCGGAACAAAACATGGCTGGTTTGAGTTATAAAGAATAACCAGAACGAAAGAAATATAAGGTGATAATTTTTTGGGAGTAATTTGAGTGAACTGGCCCTTTTTTAAAGTTTAAACTGCAGCATTGTAATAAATGCTACACAAGAAGCCATAACAAAACACACTGAGCCAACTACTTAAATACCATTTTCCAACACTTTTACCTCGACACTGGCTGCAACATTATTTAGTTGCCAAATGTTACTGTGGTCGCAACATTTCTCCTTTTTGTTTCTGTGCAGCACTTTGTAGGAAAACATCACCAATCCAGTGATGTTAAGTTTATTATAAACATTGGCCTAAATAATGAAAACACGCTGTTAACCATCATCTATACTTGTTTACAAAAGATGGTCACATTTATATTTACAAAATGCTACAAAAATAACCTGTAAGACAGAATTAAGGCTATATTATGTTTTTAAATTATGGGTTTTAATCGCCTTACCCTGCTTAAAAATGTACCAATAAAAAATACTTTGTTTTAATTCTGCTCTGAGTATTTAATATGTTCCTTTCTTTAATCTGATTTAAGAATTAAACTACTGAAGGACTGTCGATGCTGAACAGAAGGCAAAAACTATGTGCTTGTTTAAATTTTCTATAAGTTTTTATTTTACATATACTACAGTTTTTTGATAAAGACCACTTCTTGACATTTGTAGTGTAAATGAAACAAACAAAAAAAGATGTACAAGGTTTTTGGCTTTTCAAACATTTTTCACTGATTTTAAAAAAAAAACAAAAAAAACAATGAAAACTAAATGAGTGGAGTATATTTTAAGTTTCATCCACAAACCATAAAAACTATTAATGTGAAAGCCGATTTGCCCTCTTCACACTTGTTTCTGTTTGCATGCAGTGTTATAGTTTGGATGGTTGATCTTACAACTGAATACAACAACAAAAAAACTTCTTGCCTCAAACAAATTGCACCTTTTTTGGGGAAGGGGGGGGTGGGGGTTCAGGACATATTGCACATGTCAGATAACGGCAAAATAAAATGTAGGAGGAAGTTGGAAAAATCTGAAGAATGTCACTCAGCGGAGACACAGTGATTGAGATACACCAACTCTGGTATGATCACAGTAAATAACCCAGGAGCTGGTGACCTTTGACCTCTTATTCAGTGTCTACTGAACATTTTAATCAGCTTCACTATTATTACGTTGCTACAGTAGCTCATAAAATACTTCAAATTGAGTAATAAACAAATACAGAACAGCTACAGGTCTAATTTAAACGAAGCATCGGCTCGTCTGCAGATTTTTAATGTGATTGTCTGATTCTCACTTGTGATGACGAAATTCTTTTTTTCCTCCAATAAAATGAGTCAACAAAACCTCTCGTACTGTATTAGCAGTACTTTTTGTGTAGCCCCTCCTGGTTTTATATTAGCATGATTAAAGAGGGTGCCATAATGCAGAATGATTACTGTACAGAGCATTGTGGACATGACAAGATGGTTTTTGGTGATTAGTCTAGCCAGAAACAAAACAAACAAATCACGCTGCAGATTCTAACAGAAAAAGGAGGAATACATTCTTATATATTTTTTCCAGGTCCATGTTGCTGAAGGAGAGCACAGTCCAGAGCAGAGAGAGAGAGGGGGGGGGGGCTGCAGCAGATCTGTTTATAGGTACACTAAAACAGTTGGAGGCCTTTTGAAGACAACAGATCAGCGACCTACAGGGTTCCTACTCATGTCTGCAAAGTCTGGAGCAGGGTGTTAGTGATTTCAGGGATTTGGAAGGACGACAGGTTGCAGGAAATGTGAGATGAAATACATTCAGCTTCAGGTCATTCAAAACACTCATTTCTGCAGGATCCCTGGACCTTTTTTCTTCTTCCTGCTGCTGAAAAAACATCTTCCAGCACACAGTGGCGACCCCCGGCCCTCGCTTTAACTCTCCTGTAAATGGCTTAGAATCCAGTGCAATGCTTCTGCAATTTAATAGTTCATATTCATATATCTTTACATCTTCAACAGTTATTCTCTTTGTATGATTAAAAAGACCAAAATAACTTGAGTGGTTTCTCCCCGCAACCACTGCCGGACAAACAACAAGCGTTGATGATGATTCGATGAGATTAAAAACTGATTTTTATCAATAAAGCATTGGAACCTTTTTTTTTTTAATCAGTTGTCTACTGTAGGACAAAAAGGGCTTTCAGAGTTAACATGTAATCTTATTTCACAGAGTCAGATGAGTCCACGACGGTCACTTCAGTAATGCCGTCTTTAACTGGATCTCTGGAGGCTACAGATGCAGAGTTATAATGAAGAAATTGTTGTTAACACCTACAAAAAATATGTACAACATGTCAGTGTGTCTGTCCATGAAGTAAAGCAGCCGGTGATTGACGAGTAAAGCTTAAGAGGTGAAGCCAAAATGTTTCTGCTAGATGAAACGCTGCTGCAGGCACTGAGCACCACGGTGCAAAAAAAAAAGAAATAAAAAATTAAATCCACCATACAGACGCGCCTCCCAGCTCCTCAATCTGATGATTTGTAACTTTGTAAAATAACTTCAGAGGACGAGTCCAGACTTTTCAGTGGTGGATATGAGTCTCCCTTGTTTTCGAGCATCCGTGCTACACAGAGGCCTTTGCAGATATTACTCAGAGTTCAGTGCTGCAGGGCCCCTGGCTGCCACAGTGACGTTGGAGTGAGGGGTGATCAGGAACCAGAGGAGCTACGTACAGTGTCTATGGAAAGTATTCATATTTTACAGCATTGAATTAAAGTCGATTTAATGGTTTTTGACACTGACAAACAAAACTATCCTTTAAAGTCAAGTATCTAGTAGCTGCATAGTTAGCCGCAGTTTTCCACACTGGAAATTATTGAGCTGGGTCAGATCTGGGGCCGGTTTCTTCAGACAGACGTCTAAATTCTCCTGTTGCAGCCGTTTAGTACTTGATTAAATGTAGGTAGGACTGACGTGTATTGGTGGAAAGTAAGTACTTTTCCTTGTTTCACTCACTTTACTTGAGTATTTCCATTTTATGCTATTTATCTGTCACAACAATTCAGAGGCAAATGTACTTTTTACTTGATAACTCATTCAGATTGATCCCTTGGTGAAATGGAAAGCTACCCAGCAGTATATGTAACTAATAAGCTCCACCTTTACCAGCTGCAGCACTGAAGTAATGTACAAATGAATTTATCAATATTTATAATTAAATAAGATAATGAGATCATTTTTCTGATTTGAGCCATTCTGCATAATGAGTACTTACTTTTGATGCTGATACTTTATTTTAGATTTCTAGAGTACTTCTATCACTGCTAATTTGCAATTTTCAAACTCAAAAACGCAGCAGACCGAGCAACAACATGAAACTGCTCAGCTCCCTTCACTCCCGAGTCAGAAAATACAATTAAACTGTTATAGGGATCATTTAATGTTGCGGAGCTGAGATGCAGTGGCTTCTTGATGTGGCAGAACTCGTCTGCTAACTCTTCAGTAGTTTCTTTGGCCACATGAAACCACTGATGATGTCCTCGCCGCTGTTACCGCAATCTCTAAAAACCGGTGATGCTTTAGATGTTTTAAAGGTGGGATAAGGAAATTCTAATGCAATACATGTCTTCTTGTCAAATTCAGCTCAGGGTCCGCAAACTGTCCCTTCTGTGTGTGCGCTGAAAATCAATGTGGTGTGTGTACACAGCCCTGGCTCTGTAAATGGGAAACAAAGTGGATCGGAGCGAGCCACACAACACTGTTCCAGCTATGATTTGTTTGTCAGGTGACATTAACTGACTTCAGCTTACTTTGTAGTTCACCAAGACATGCTGCTGAGGGTATTTGTAGTTCTTCTGTGTCAAAAAAGCTACATCAAATCTACTTTGATTCATGTTGTAAAACAATAAGATGCCGTTCGTACTTTTTATAGGCACTGTAACACCACACTGGGACAGACAGACCGTACGATCTCCGGTGTTCATTTCCTGCTCGCAGCACCTCATATGAACACCAGAGATCAGAGCACCTGTCTGCTGGGGTTCAAAGCAAGGGACATGTGAAAGATGATCCTGCTCAGAGCGTCCTCAGGCCCCAGGCGGCCTCTGGAGCAGAACAGACGGTGGTTGGATGCATAGGTTTGACTTGAGGAATGCTACCCCGCCTGGGCACAGCACAGTTTTCAGGCTCTTTTGAAGTGCAAACGGTTGAAGGGAGATGATGGAGAACCAGGCTGTGAGAGGACGTCAGAAGGGAAAAATAAATAAATAATCCAATTAAAAAATAAAAATAGATGTTTCGGAGGTGAAACTCCAAAGAGTCCTAGGAGATGATCTCCAGGATGTAGAAGACAAGCTCCATGACAACGGGGCCCTCGCTCAGCTGACACGCCCCGCTGTGGATGACAGGGATCAGAGCGCTGTCCAGGTCGCTCAGGTACTGAGGCAGCAGAGGCTGGCCGTTACTTCCTGCTAGGTAACCCACCTGCAACCATAAAGAAAGGTGTTAGACGGGTCCTCGCTCAGCGCAGAGGGAACCATTGAGATTCAGCAGTATTTCTACATAATAGTTTATTAATTAGATTTTTATAGCTACAGACATAATAAATGTATTATTAACTAAAAGATATCAAAATAAAAATTCAACTGTCAGTCAAAACAGCTGCAAAACCCACAGTGTTGCATTTTTATTGATACGAAACTGAGACAAGTCTGTTTTCAAAACAGCTGATACCAACACATTTGTTTTTTCTTTTTACTGATAAAATCAACAGACACCTGTATTTTTTTTTATATTTTGTTGTTTGTCCACATAATGGTCTTTTTAAATATATAATATATTTTAAAAGTGCTATATAGAAGCGTGTGTGCTTGCTTGATTATCATAACTGGACTAGATGCAGCCAAATCAATAAGCAAATTGTTTCAGAACAAAAACGGCTTCAGTCACACAGAAACCCCCTCCTGACATGTTTGCTAGTCTACAATTCCTCTCAAAAATGTGTTGTAACATCTGAACCTACCTGGTCGGAGTCCAGAGTGACCCTCAGTCCCAGTTTGGCCATGCCGTCCTCCTTCAGCAGTTTCAGGTGCGGACAGAGCGCCATGCAGAAAGCTCTCGCCACGTTCTCCGTCAGCCGGCTGTGGTCGGCCGGGTCGCTCAGACCGTTGGGTTGATCTTCACTCTGAAGGAAAAACACCTGAGGGTATCACAGAAACACACAATAGATACATTTTTTTGTTTGTTTTTTACTGTGCACATAAACAGGCCGCTCTACAAGAACTAAACGTGACTTAGATCCCAGGTACTTTAGCATGGCGTACACAGGTGCGTAGCACACGACATACTCTGAAGAAAATCACTAGATTTACATTCTTTTTTTTTTAAAATATTTGATAATAAAAGACAAAAGAAAGTCTTCATGGGAGGTGAAATAGGGCTGAGCAGAAAATGTATTGTCACTAACTTGAACAAACCTTGAGGCTGAATTCAAACCTGAACATACACACAGTTACACTATTCGTTGCTCTTGTGTGTGTCACATCAGAATTTAATTTAATAAAAAAAAGACAAGACGTTCAAACCTGCAGCCTCAAGCGGCTTCTGAATAATCAGAACGTTGGTATTGATACTCCGTAAAATGAGTAGTGCGAGTGTCAGATGTATTGTACCTCGGTCCAGCGGATGACTTTTCCATTGGCTTTGAACTCTGAGCCGTGGAAGATCTTGACGCTGGTAACAGACTCCATAGTCTTCCCATCGATCGGACTGATGACACTGAATAAATCAAACAAAACAACAGCGCTTAATTCAACAGTTTACAGATTTAGAGACAGAACATACAAGTAAATGTAAAGCAGAAGTGAAATAAGGAGGTGGGGTGGAACGACTGATTAGGACTCCAGGCAAGTTATATATCTGGGTGGGGGATGCAAATACAGACTTCCCTCAGCGGCTACTGTCAGAGTGTCCTCAAGCAAGGCACTGACCTGCCAGCTGCTCGGATGGAGATCGTTGGCCAAAGACTGTGGGCTGCACTTTTTTTATTTATTTATATATTTTAAAAACAGGACACATGCTGATCAACATTTAAATGTAAAAATATCCAAAAGGCTAATGTATTTTTTTATTTTATTTTATTACTGTCTTTGGTCCAGTGGTCATTTAACAAAAAAACAAAAATAACTTTGAATTGCCAAGAAACCAAAACATAAAAAGGCAAATAATGGATTAGGGAGCCTCTTCCCACAAAGAACCTTCTACTTTAATTGCAATCACCATATTAACCCCCCATTAGACCTCCCTCCAAAGCCGTTCATAGTCAGTTTTGTTACTATATTTGTTCTATACATTGCATGTTTTTTATGTTTTGGCGAGCTAAAGATGTCCTCTCTGGTGGACAATAAAGACTGAGGAGAATGAAACTCAAGAGGCAAACAAACAAAAGGACAGGCAGCTAAATATGTAACTATCATGATCTGATGGCAGCGTGACAGCAGACGGAGTTGATTTATCTGGAGGAGTAAGGGTCAATACTGAGACTACGCAGAGAAAATTCTGCTAATGAAGTGATACAGCGTCTAGTGAAAGGTCTCAATTAAATTTTAAATTTGCAGATTTCATCAAAACTGCTGTAAAACTGATTGCGTTGCTCTGCATTTCAAAGCCATGTCAAACCACATCATCCCACCCTGCTAAGATTTTCCTCCAGAGGGCTTCCCCGAGCATGCATAATGACTTTTTATAGCAAAGTAGTAAATGCAGCAGTTGGGAAGCTATCAGTTCAATTGTCCATGACGTGAATGCATGTCTTCCAGCTCCCTCTCTCCTCCTCCTCCTCCTCCTCCTCCTCCTCCTCGTCTGTTCGCGAGGCCTCCTCTCTTCCTGTCTCACCCCTTGTTGAAGTTGTGGTCATCCTCCGTCCACTGGATGTGGACCACCTCCTGGTTCTCCTCCTGGTCAGCTTTACCACACGTGATGGTGAAGTCTTTCATGTCCCTCAGGGCTTGCCGTAGAGAGTCCATGGTCTCTGCTGTGATCTGGATCATCACACCATCTAAGGGGCGGGGGGAGAAGATCCCTTATGATTAGTGCTCAAACAAATTAATCTATGTGTCAAGTGACAGACCATTACTCAACAGTTTTGATAATCACTCACTCAGTTATGACAAGCTTGTTAAAAACCGAAGATGTGAAGCTGGACAGACGTGAGATTTACCAGGCAAATGAAAAACATTCTTTCTGTATTTTGACCGTTTTCTCTTGTGAGACTCCCAACTTTATGTAAGTGTAATACTAAATCACTGGAGTACCCCCTTTCAGTCATTCATCAAGCAGATATGCCAAACATTCACTGCTTTCAGCTTCTCAAATGTAAGGATTTAGCTGCTTTTCTCTCTTTTGAGTTTTTGGTCATTGGTTTTTCAGTCGTTAACTTGAGCTTTAGGAAATTGTGAGGCATTTATAACCATTTCACAAATTGGAAAATAATGAGCTGAATAATTGGTAATTAAATTATCGTGCAGCAGTGAGAAATATGCATTGACAAATTATGATCTAGTCAGTTTTCTACACAAAAATCTATTGAGAATTGTTTGTAGATAAGATAACTGGATGTAGATGTCCTATTCTGGGGTGTTCCAGTGTATTAACTGATGACTGAAGCATAATACACCCAGAGATGTGAGAAATGGCTACCATGCTCCCAACGTTATAGCAAAATCTTTGCTAGTTGGTAAGTTTATATCTCCATATATCAACATGGGTTTTATTCTTCATATGTATTAGGGCATTTGTGAAGTAGCCTCGTAAAAATATACTGAACTGATATTTTCGTATTTTTACAGCCAACAAGTCGTTTATTGTCACACTTCTCACCTTCCACAATGCTGGTCTTGGCTAAGAAGCCCGACGAGGCTTTCAAAGCACCACTGAACACAAAGAAGCAGGCTCCAGTAACTGTAGAAAATACAAAAAGAGACAAAAGAAAAAATAATAACTTCTCGAATCAACAACTGAATGAGGCCAATTCATTTTCAGGCAAACAGACAGGACAAGAGAAATAATAACAGTCAGTCAGGAGGAGGATTTCCAGGCAAACAGAGCTCTCTAGACAACAAGCTGGACATAAAAAACAACAACAGACAGCTGGGGGAGAGATAAAGGAATTCTTCAATGTGATGAATCTGTTTCTGTGTGAACAACCTTTGCGAGGCTGGTGATGGATGCTGATGGCCTGCGTCTGGTAGTTCCCGTCGTCGTTTTGGACACACACCAAGTGCGAGTCGGCCCGGTCGTTGAAACACGCCCCCATGGCCAGCACGTGTTCGTTGGACTTGTTCATGGCCTTCATAAGCTGCAAGGACAAATAATATCGGTGTCTAATTAAGCTGCCATTGGGGTAGGTGCTGAGGAAAATGGACTTAACTGAGACCTCCTAGTTAAGCCTAATTGCAGTGGGCTTGTGGGTAAAGTGCTCGAGTTAAATGGGATGGCACCGAGATGACAGATTGCGAAGAAAGACACTGGCATGGGTGGATATCAATAGTTGAAAGATCCCACATATTAATTCCACTAAATCCCCTGCCTCTGTGTCTCTTTGAAGCCATCTCTTCGAAATCCCAAATAAAACTGAAAATCTGGAGGGCTTTAACCACTTGCTGCGCTATAGACGTCTGCAAGCTGGTGAGAAACAGTCCCTACTTCACATTACCGGGTTCCCATCTGTTAGTGCATCAGCAGCCAAACGCTACAACCAGCACCGCTCTCTCTCCGCTGTGGCTTTCTTTCTCGGCCAAATGGTGCTTCGTGCGTATCACTTCTTCTGGTTGGACATTCATTCACACCCTCGGCGTTATAACAAGTCGGCAGCCCACGCCTAATGCTCAGCTGCAGGGACCCTGGAGAGTTTGTCACACGTCACCTACACAGAATGAACATGTGTGTGTTGATGTTCATGCAGCCTAAGAGGAGCTTCCTCCTGTCATTTGTCTGGTGGAGATTTTAATTTGGATAGAAGAGATTTTGGAGGGGGAAAAAAAGCTCAAATGTGCAACATATAAGACACTCTGATGTCTAAAATCTGTTTTTATATTTACACGTTTGAATCAGAAGGTTTTGTAGTTTTAGGGTTCTGTGACGCCTAACAAGCTGTGTGGTTCGGTTCGTTTACGCTGGGGTGGAAGCTGTTAATCAAACTCCGGTCTGGACTAAACAACCGGACGGAGACCACGTGAAAGACTGTTCTTGCTCTGCTTCCAGTCAGACTATGGTGCAGTTTGTTTGTGTGATTTTAGTGTAAATTCTAAAGCAAAAGAATTATAAAAACTAAACTATCACGCAAGTGATCGGTATAACCAGCATACGTATATATGTCTCCACAAAATGCAACAAACTACATCTGTCCTATTCCATGTATTTTAGTAGTTTCTTATTAAAAGGGGAGTGAAACGTAGCAACCATAGTAACTATCCCTGTGTATTATTACGGTAGAAGGTGCCTCTTTCCTACCTGTTGGTCATTATTCATAAGATGAGGTCTCAAATGATAATACCCAGGATGGTTCCAGCGTATAGGATCCATGAGGGTTTCTCTGTTTTATATATTATGTTAAATTGAATTTTTAGGTTTTAGACTGTTGATTGGACATAAAAATAATTGATAGCGTTTGCTGGGCTCTGGGAAATGGCTCATTGGCTGCAGCTAACAGAGGGCAATAAAGATCCAATCCTCTACCACAGTGTACATTTTCTAGAAAATCTATTGAGAAAGTTGATAAAATAATGAAATACCTACCATAACTAAAATAATATTGTCACAAAGCAGAAAACCAACAAATAATGCTCATGATTAGTTCTTGATTTGACACCAGAGAACATAAATATACACAGGAGGCATTAAAATGCTGCATGAAATTTGATTAAATTACCACGTGGGTCTATGTAGCACTGGACAGCTGCCAAAACTGTCCGATGAAAGAGTTACCTGTCAGTCTGTATAACCTAATGTTTGCAGCATTGGTTTGTTTGTAAAAAGTCAGTGTGAACAAGACACGAACCAGAACTAAGAAGAAAACGGTGCATCACTTTTTTCTTTACTCAAAATGAATCGAACTACAGGTGTGAGAGAAACCTTATGTTTAGCTGCTATGTGGTGCAGGACACTTACCTCATTGTATCGATTACTGGGGATCTTAATGCTCGTCTTCTTCACCTCCATGTCTACGACCAGACCTTTCACCACCGGAAGCGTGTACTGGTAGTTACGGAAGTCCTACGACAGACACGCAAAAAGAAGAGGATAGGAAAACAGTTTAACTGAACACAGTCTCATCGAATAACTAATAGTTTCAAAATAAAAAGAAATCAAAAGCACTCAGGGCACTTTGTAACAAAAATGACATACTTGTTTGACAAAATCATCCTGCTACACACAGAAAGCACTACATTTTGGAAAATGTATGAGGCAAATGTTAACATATAGCAGAGCTCTTCAACCTTGAAAAATACAGGACGAGAAAAACAAAGCACTTACTGCGAGCAGATTCATGATAGTGTGACCAGTCTCACCGAAGAGGGGTTTTCTGAAGCGAACACTGAACAGTGGACACGGATAAACTGCAAAACAAAAGTTTGGAAATAATTTTTACATTTTTTCAAATTTTTACATTTTTTCACAGAAATGGATATCTTGACTTCATTTTATTTTACAATCTTCATTGCTGTTACAATATTCCTCCCTGTTTGTTGTAGTAATGCATTTCAGCCTTGGCTCTGGGTCTTTCATTTCATAGGGAAGGTGTTTCCATGCCTTTTCATGTTTTTATTAACTGCACAACTTGTATTTCCTGGTTTTCTATCCTCTTCACTCATGAATGCAAATTAACTAAATAAAAGACCCCACACAAATCCAAAACAGCAAACTGTGCCTGCAGTTAGGAGGAACGCTCCTAATCCACAAGTGAAAAATAAGGCTTTTTTTCCCCCTCCAGCCACGAAAGCTCCTTAGATGACTATTTTTATCCTTATCTCAGCAAACAGCTGGAAATAAGATCTCACCACAAACTCTCATTAGCAATAAAAAAACAATCTCGGCCTCAATCTGGAGTTCAGTTCAGTAGGGATCCCTATGCTGACAAGCTGCCCGCCCGACCTGCTGCTGGCCACTGCTTAAAGTAAGAGGCAAAAGTGTAGAGAAGTACACCGTGTGGTGGATTAATTTCACAGTAATGCTAACATTTTGTGTTTAAGAACCTCAACTGTATGTGGCTTTGTTAATGTATTCTATCCGCGCTCGCTGGAAGCGGGCAAGAGGCTTAGCAGAGGCAGGCGGCGCTCGGTGCTGGCAGATCTGGCTGTGCGAGAAGGGGATTTGGTGGAGAGGAGACTCTCTCTGATAAAACCCCACACTAGGCGTCCTGGTTCACGCGGGAAACTGTGAGAAACGTATGAGAGCAGGTTGATATGATGTCTACAGACTTCTGACACCTGACAGGCTAAGCTCTATGTGGATCTTAATACTTTACCATAAGAAACCATCAAACCATTAGAGGACACTCACGCTCTTCATTTTTAACTTCTATATGTTTGGTTCTAATGCTTTATAGGAGCATGTAATCTGTCTTAATTGAAATACAAACAAATCAGAGACTATTTTCTAATTAGACTCAAATCTGAGGCTCCATCTTGCTGGTCACATTATACCAGTCCTATACCAAATATTTGCTTTGTCTCCCATTCACTTTCTGTTGAAGCCCATAATTCAAGCATTTCCTGTTTTGGTCTCCAGCCGGCTCAGACAAACTAGCAGGTCAAAGTGTTGTGTTTGTGCAAGCCAATAGAGACACTGATCCACCACTTATTAGTCTGGCATGTTTTATCATTGTGTTTAGTGCAATATTACACTGCCAGACTACAAACTGCAACATCACTTTCGCAGCCTTTTTATAGGTTTGTGACTGTATATCAATATTTATTCGTTTCCCACATCAGAAATACAACATCGCATCTTTTTTGGGACTGCAGGCGGGGAGATATTGAGGACTAATGTTACTGTATTGTCTTGGTACAGACCATAATGTCTCCAACTTCGAGTATCAACAACTGTCTGAATGAAGTACAGAAAGCTGATATACAATGCTTAGATGTTGATCAGTTTCTTATTTCAACTTTACTTAACATTTGGGAAGACTGTCTTCTTTTATTAAATGAAAAAATTTCTTGTAGCAAATGTTTATATTCCTCAAAGTAAGGTACCTGAAAACAAACAAACAAACAAAAAAAACAAAACTAACTGAAACCCTGCTGAGCAACGTGCAGATAATGAATTACAAACAGGCCTGTTCTAAATACATCTAAAATAGTGTTTAGAAAAAAGAAAGACATACATTTTCTGTATGGATAATGAAACTAAATGTGAACTCAAATTATACCTATTCCCTACATCACCATTACTGTATTGAGTGAACCCCAGTAGTCCTGACTCACATCGGTACTCTGCGCCCAGACGCAGCATGAGGCGGATGGGGAAGACCTTAGCCCAGGGCGTTTCCCACTTCTGTATCAGGATGCCGAAGAGGTAGGGCGGGTTGGGCAGCAGCAGGTCCTGCAGTGACTGGAAGGAGGGACTGATGTAGAGGAAGCCACCATGCTCCTTACTGCCCAGGAAGCTCTGGGTGAAGAATGAGTGACTCAGGTGGCTCAGCACGTTTCCTTTAGGAGACGAGGAAGGAGGGGATGGGAGGAGAAGAGAGAGGTTAGTGATACAGGAGATGTGAGGAAGAGGAGGGGTTGGTGAAATAGGAGAAAAGAAGGCACAGCAGGTTAAAAAAAAGCAGGGAATGATGAGAAGGAGAAAAATAAAGAAGGATGAAATGTAAGAAAAAGAGGAAACAAAAATGAGAAGCAAAGGAGGAAACAGAAAGTTGTCATCCTCTGAAAGGGGAGGTCTGTTAATAAATAAATATATATGTATGTAAAGACAAAAGGCTTTTGGTGTATCCCTGCGATAAATGTGTGGATTAGGAGCAAAGGAACAATGAACAACAACTTATACTGCCTGCTTGCCCTACAATCTCATATTACCCACAAAGGGTTCATGTTACTAATTATCTGTGGGAGGGATGCCTGGCTTTAGACTCCACATAACGCAATAACCCTGATGGTATGACAAAGCTCAGAGGCTGGGACTTGCCAAAGCCAGCACTTCTTTGAAGACCTCACTGACTGCGATTTAATCAGGAACGACACACACAATATGGCTCCTTTCCACCAGCCTGAAACTGCTCCAGTGTGAATATGAAAGAGGAAACAGCCTGAGGGGAGCGCGGCATCAAAGTCACCTGATATTAGCAGATTTTGCTCTGCAGCATACGGAGTTAAAAACGCAAGGCAAGCTGTAGTGAGGTGTCACGCCTGGAGGGAGGGGACCTGACAGCAGGATGCTAATACGTGGACCATTTTTCATGAAAAGGCTGAGACGCAGTTCAGCAGTGGTGGAGGGTAATCTGATTTCCAAATAGAGGGCGGCTAGGTGCGCCTTTCGTCTGTACAGAACAAAACGTAGAGCTGGAACAATCTCCCCTTAACAATTATACTACATTACTTTAGGGGTACATCACTTATTACTGCAGCGCCGAACAGAGACAGGTACACTCACCTGTGGAACTCTAGACAGACAATGACTAGCTGCCATCTCACCCAAGAGGGGCCCATGGCGGCGGTGGACTAATTTCACAGTGTGCCGCCTGGTGGAGCTGTTGGTTGTGTTCTTACCACTGAGGGCCTCCTGGTAGAGCTGCACAAAGTGAGTGAAGATGTCTTTAGGGATGGTCTTCTCATCAGGTAGACACTGGAGCAGAATGACCACCTCTGCCTGGCCGACGGCGTGCATGCCCTTCGTCGTCACGTACCAACACTTCCTGTTTACATCTGTGGGTTGAAAGAACAGTAATCTAGCCTGTCATGACAGACATACAGGAGGTAGTTACCCAGTTACCTCAGATCCATTAACATTTCATAAGCTCCTTTCAAACATGTATGTACACTGTAAATATGATGGCAATTTTACGGGATTGTCTCATGTCTGAATAAACACTGAAGTCACTTTTACAAAAAAGTCATAAGGGCAATCTTACTACGGACCAAGCAACGTTTCTGTAAAACTTATAATACGTTAATTGAGTGCCGTCAAATTTACATAAAGATGGATATCAAGCTTTTTTTATTCCATCTCGTTACGCATCTCGCTGCGCTTTGTACGGCACAAAGGCACTGACTGGCTGGGTAACTCACAGTTGACAAGCTTGACCATGGAGAGCAGGTTAGCATTGAGCACGAAGACCAGGGGGTCTGGGCCTCCCTCCTCCAGCTGCTGCATGAGGACGATCTCCGACGGCCTCTCCTCCACTGCATAGTCTGCATCGGGTGAATTCGGGTGGAGCAAAAGAAGGAGAAGAGGAGGGAGGAGTCAAGGCAAAAAATAGATGAAAGGACAGGACAGAACCAAGGGTGACAGAGGAGTGGAGATGTCAGAGTGAGAATCAGAAGGGGGGGGGTGAGAATGATAAAAAGGAGCTAGAGACCCTCTCAATATCTGAAAACCTCATCAATGCACTCACATGAACAAATCCCCCCCCCACCGTTGGCAATGAGAGGTCAAAACACGAGCCGTGATATAAAGCACACAAAAAAGCACACTTAACAAGCACAAACAGCAGCTGACGGAGCAATGAGGAGGCAGCACAATGGTGAGGATGAGGGCAAGCACCTGTGATGTGGCCTCCCGTACCTCCTTTGACTCCGGTAGAGATGAGGATGGGAGGAAGCCCGTCCTCCGGGATCAGGCTGAGGGAGCTGCCCACTGGGGCAACGGGTGTGTGGACTGCCTGGGGATGGAGAGGAGAGGTGGGGGTCTAGGGTTAGATGTAGTTTAATGGCTTTGATTACACATCCATCTGGGTGCTATTGCTCACATGGAATAGGGGGCATCTGAACAGTTTTCTTTAAAATAAGAATTATCCCTGACTAGCTTCTTGGTTTCTTTTGACTAAGAAACTAATTACACGCGAGTTATTCGTAGGAATTACCAAAACTGCTGGGAAGAAATCAGTTTGTTTGATAAATGATGGTAAAAATACTTCACGCCCAGAATTGGTGTACTTAAAGGGTAACTTGGGTATTTTACAACCTGGACCTTATTTCCCTATGGTTTTGTGTCTGTGTGACTAATTGGAACAAACTTTTTTGAAATTGGTCCAGTACTGAGCAAGTACGCTGCAGTCAGCAGCAGTGAAACAGGGCTGTAACAAAACCGTGGCGGGCAAATGCGCCCCATCAAAGTAAGTCCACTAAAGCGCTCGTTTTTGCCACTGACAGGCTCAGATTGTAATAGTAAGTGTCTGACAACATTATGGAAAGGATCACTACAGAGACAGCTCTTTTTTAAAAATGGTAAAATCCTTTTTGTTTAACCACCCACCAAAGTCCATCATTTTTGCTGGTCTCCCGCTGCCTCGGTCGATTACTTTGTTTGTGTTACTGTGTGACTTTTTTTGTTTTGTTTAACATTTGACCACATTCATCAACCCTGTTTCCAGCAGCAGCAGGCAGCTATTGAGTTAGTGCCCAGCTTGTAAAAATAATGGAGCATTTAGCAGCTACGGGGGCCAGATATTTTTCTCAGGAGTTGGTGGAGACCAAACAGAGATAAATGGACTCACGTTCAATAGGTGGCCAGAAACACAACTAACTGAACACTAATTTTGATTCGGATAGCTCAATGTGTGAACAGGCAACTGTTTGCTAACAATTTGAAACAAAACAGTTAAGATTAAGACTGCAGAGGCCAAGATTTCCTGACTTTTAGTTCCTAGTACAAGTGAAACTCACTCACAAACACGGGATGCAAATTTATTGCATCTTCTGTTAAGGCCTCCCTGCCTGGTGAGTTTCTTTCAGACTCAATGCAACCAGTTTGTAACAGAAGCCTTCTGGTATAATTTACCATAAACACTATGCAACTCTTTTCACAGGCCGAGTAGCAAAAGCACAGTAGGAGCCCTGTACATCAATGGTTCACCACTTTTCCACTGCTACTCATGAACTGCAGTAGTTTCCTCACTGTGAGTGAAACCTTTGAGTTCATGCCAGTATGACTTTTGTGGTGTCATGTGAAAGTCTGATTTTATATTCCAGCTCTGTCTACATAGCATCAGGCCATCTGAGATGAAGCCATTTAAAAGCTTCAACAATCATTCTGTTCAGCAGCCATGAATCATCCTGATGGGTGGCATTCAAGTCCAATGAGTGTACAACACGACCACAAAAACAACCAGATTCAACTTTCAACTGTTCTGTTATTTGCTGTGAGGCAAACATGTACATATTTTCCTTTAAGCACTACAGGATTTCTAATTCTGATTAAGCAAAAAAGGAATGTTTCCTTTGAACTCCGTTTACAGTCTGTTTGTTGCAGTCTGTGACCCAGCCACTAAACCACCAAGAATCCCCCAGAAAGAGTTCTTTGGCTTCCTACAGCTAACTGCATAGTGGTTAATATGACCATACAAGCTAACTTAATAGTGTTAGCTGTGGGTGAATATTTGTCGTGCCAGGCCTACCTCTGAGAACTCAGAAGTGGAGGATTTGTTTGAATACGAGGAGACGGCCAGTGACTGGGAGGGGACTGGGCTGGAGGTCGGAGGTTTGGGGGACTCTGCTGCGTCTCCGTTAGGTAGCACCCCATCAGCAAACCACACTCTCCTCTGCTCCCGTGACAGGGATACTGAAGTTGAGATGCCCAAATAAAATTAAATTTTACCTTATTGTCTTACAGACACAAGCACAGTGAAACAACAATAAAAATAAAGCATTTTTATTCTTGGTAAAAGGTTGTACCCTCATTGCCAGGCTGTTTCAGGACTCCGACGGGCACCATGACGGTAGGAGGAGGGGAGCTGAGCACCCCAGAGGCCTGGGCCTGCTGTAGAGGGGGCACCGTGGAGCAGTACTCTGCTGGGTTGTTGGGGTTCGGACTGTGGTTGCTTGCAGTGGCCGTCGTCTCCCATGATTGAGCTGACAGAGGCAGAAAACATCACTAGTATAAGTTAGGAAAAATGTGTCTAAAGTCTAAAAACTATAAAGATCAGGGGGAGATGTCTTTAAAGCAATACATCAAATCCTACATGTAAACAGATGTAAAAAGTTTAAGATGTGTGTGTGAAAAACTGATATGGGCCAATGCTAATAGTATTCCCATACATATGTATCTCTTAATTAATGGACATCTTTTGCAGCAGACACCGGAGTTGTTGTAGTAGAACAAGCACAGGTTTATCTAATTTTGCATGTTATCACGGCTCTCTCCCTCTCCGTGTGTATTTGTTTCTCCTCTAAGTGGGAATGTTGTTGACCTCTTCTGTTTTTGTGCAGCCTGTCCTCTTTCCAGGTCTCTATGGTGGAGAGGAGGAGGTGTGGCTCAGATCATATTTAGTGGGCGACACGTGAAGCTGCTCATTTGTCCTCCCGAGTACCTCCTTTTCACTTACTTTTTACAATCTACATTTTGTCACTCATCATAACTGTATATACTATGACTTTCTGTTGTGAATCTATATTGTGCACACAACATGCACGTCTGTATATCCTGGGAGAGGGATCCCTCCTCTGTTGATCTTCCTAAGGTTTCCTAAAGGAGCTTTTCCTCATTCTAATCGAGGGTCTAAGGACAGAGGGTGTAGTATGCTATAAAGTTTGTAAAGCCCTCTGAGGCAATTTGTGATATTGGGCTATAAAAATAAGAGGATCTGTTCCAATATGTGGCCCAGTAAGCCATTCTAATGCATTTGTAATTAATGGTGATTACACTTGTGCCTTCCCTGCTATGACATGTCAAAATGTCTGCAGTGAGACATTTAAGAAATTTCATTTCTGTCAAGTGAGAGTTTTGAACAAAAAAAGTCATGCTGATGCAATACTTTTGTTGTCTTAAAGCTCCCCCCCCCCCACACACACCTTTGCTTTCTCTTCTTTAAATATTCAATGAGTACAGTCTGATGAGTTTTTTTTATAAATGGAGCAACATCCTCTGATACGTATCATTTATGTGTACGTTTTGTATATGTAAATGCATCTGTTGTAAAGAACTAACTCTCTACTTGCAATGATGCTCACCACTCATCAGAGCAGAATGACAGATGACACAGACACGAGCCTCCTTCCTGTCCATGTACGTGAGCCTGCACTTTAGGCCGCAGCACGTCGCACAGAACACCTAAAAAAATAAATAAAAAACAAACCCACACACAGCCACGTAGAAAAAGATTATTCGTAACCACATTCCTACAAGGGATAAGCACACTGGGAGAAAAACATTTATCCAAATTATGTTCCTTTATCTATGAAGATTTTTATTTAAAAAAGGTGTGGAATTGAAAATAAGTTGTGATTTTTTCCTTTTATGGATATTAGTTTCCTTTACTTTGCCAGAACCTCAACGAGCTGCAGCTGTGTACAGGACACTTTAAATGGATTAGCACCTCCTTACACGTCATTATCCAGTAACATGTATTTAGTGGAACATTACACAGAGGGTGGATGATCCTTTTAATTTCATCATCATAAACTGGTTTGTGCATGATCTACCAGTCTGGTGGTGGATGCACTAAGGATCCCGCTGCGTCTGTTTGCCGCCCCAGTGCTGGTGTCAGTATTACTGCAGTGCTAGCTCCTCCCTGCTCAAGTAGCAGAGAGTGTGTTTGTTTACCACCTAGGGAAATTAAGTAGCAGTCCGGCGATATTCCAGTGCAGTGTCAGCGACCACATATTCACTTTAAAGCACTGTGCGGACATCCCGCTGCATGTGTGGGTGGCTGTAATCATAGAAAGCTACCTCCACACCCACTTTCGGCAAGAAAGGCCTAAAAAAAAGAACACATCTATTGTGTTTCATTTAATTTATCTCCTTACTCCACAGAGTTCAGAAAATCTCTTTTAAAGACACGGGATATACAAATCATATTCTCCAGACGTAAGGGAACACTCTTATTTGGTACAGACCCCAACAAAAACCCCATCATAATTTAAAAAAAAATTTTCCCCAGTGAAAATGAAATTACCATTCCCACCAAAATCTCTGTCAAAATAATCGCAATAGCATTTTCTTTTATCGTTTAGCTTGATTTGGTGGGAAAAAACAATTAATGTTTCAAAAGATCCCACAAGGCTTCAGTACCAGCTAACTCCCCAAAATACAAAATGTAGAGAAAGACAGAAAAAAACAAAACAAAAACAACCTTCCATTCTGTCATACACATAATGCTGCTATGCGGTGCTACTAAGTGACGTTTAGTGCATTCCAGGAATTATTTTCTGCTGAAGTGTGTAGTTTTCCCTAAACCTGCATTGACAGGCTAACATAATTTGGTAATACCCAGAATGCCCTTTGAAACTGCTTTTTGGCATGGGTTTTTCAATGTCATGCACCTTACTCTGGATGATGGTGCAAAATGGATTCTCTTTAGTTCTGAATGGTTGACCCCAAAAATGACAGCACACTGTCTAAGTTTGGTCAATTATTATGGGATCAATAAATAACCAAACAACAGAATTGGCCTAGGTATACCAGGTGTATTGCTATAATCATTGTTAAAACACATTTTAACAATGATTATAAAAGCAGCTGTAGCACTCCACTGACCTTGCCACAGGCCCTGCAGTGGTGCCTCCTCTTGGTGAAGGTGAACTTGACATCACATTTCATACAGACTGGAGCCTGAGAGTCGGGAACCCACACAGGGGCAACTTCTCCCAGGGAGCTTGCAGGTTTCCTGCACAGAGTGCCCTGTTGACCTGCCTGGAGGTCATTGTCTGGGCTCTCTGAAGGCATCAGCAGAGGAGAGTGGACAACACCATCTCCGTTCACCCCGACTGCACTCTGATCAGTGCCACTGAGCGCAGTTTCAGAGGATGTGCCTCTCCGACACTGGTTCTCATGGTTTTTGTTCTTGCCGACGGCAGATGGGCCGAGCTGATTTAGGACCTGGCCCGACAGCTGCTGTGGGATCTGGAGCTTGAGGCTGACTGGCTGCTTTGGTCGTGCCCCTCCGTAGGGAACACTGACCGGCTGCAGCCGATTGTTATTGAGTTTTGGTTGGATGCTACCTGACCCCACTGCTCCTCCTTCACTGCCCTCTTGCTTGCTCTCCTCCATTTCTTTCTCCTCAGTGACAGAGTCCTCTTTGGAGGGGACAGGAGAGGGAGAAAAACCCTCCTCCTCCTGCTCCCCCCTCTCATCTGCCTCCTTAAGCTTGGGATGGCTACTGCTGTTTTGCTCCAAACCATTGGGAAGGCTGGTTATTCTGAGGAGTTGGTCTATCTGTCCCTCTGGACCATATCTCTTCTCCTCCTCCACTTCAACCCTGTCAGGGGTAGATTCACCATTCTCCTCCACCTCATAACCAGCCTGAACGTCTCTCCCTCTATTCAGAACACTTTCTATCTTCTCTTCCTTTGAGTTTGCAGTTTGTTTTTCTTGACCATTGCCCTGTAAAACAGCTGTAACAGCCTTATCTTTGACATCTTCCCCATTTTGTGTTGTTGGTTCCACATTTGGATGAATTTCTGGGGACAGAGTTTCTTCCTGTCCTAATCCAACCTCAAAGGTAAAGTGAGTGTGACTGACAGTGGAGTCTCCTCCTCCTCCTCCTCCTCCTCCTGCTGCTGTTGCTGCTGCTGCTGCTGAGGCAGCTCTCGCCTCCTGGTCAGAAGCATCAGGCCGGTTGTCTGGAGGAGCACTTATCTCCTTGCTGAGCCCATCTACTTGTGGGCTTGCAGGGCTGGCAGGGCAGCCGTTCTCCACTGTACTACAGGCCGTCACAGGGGGCGGCGAGAGGTCGTCTGTGCCCACCAGTTTGCCGATGTTGGGCTGGGGAAGGGGTGGGCTGTGAACGTCTGCCGGCCTCTCCTCTACCCAGGATGGAGGTTCGGGACTGGTACGTCTCTTAGGGTCGGCCCCCGGGGAGACGCTGGAGGAGGAGTCGGGGAGGGTCTTGAAGGGAAGCGGACTCTCCCGTGGGCTGAGGTCTGAGTGGGCCAGGGCGGGGTTCAGAGAGAGCAGGTGGGCAGGCGGGGCCAGGATCTGGGTCCACTTGGCATCCGAGAGAATGGGACTGTCGGTCTCATCTGGCAGAAAAAGAAGAGATGACAGATTAACATGAATCTCGCTTTGCCTTCTTTATCATAAACGTTAGTCCTTATGTTTGTGTCTTATTTTGCATAGCTTGCAGGTTTTTTGTCACATTGAAGACATGAAACAGAAAATAGGAAGTGGCTACCAGCAAAGAGATCATGAACCTACAACAGCAAGTCAGGAAGCCTCAAATGAACTGCCACAGAGAACTAATACAAAAAGATACACACTCCCAGGTGATTGAAAGAGCTAAAAATGGCAGAAACAAACCAGGGGACAAAATGAGAAATGAGGTTGGCATGGAGTGGGAAATTAGTGTGTGGATGGACTGGGAAATTCTGAGAAAGTGGGCCAAACAGCTTGGCCACCCCTAGGAGCCATCAGTCGAGCTGACACATAAATGCTGCGTTCTTCTAATATTTATTCAAAAAAAGACTCTCTCACACAGCCCTGTCAGCTACTGTATATTGCGCTCCTCCTCCCTCCACTGGAATTCATGCTAAGCTGTTTTAGTATGTGCTGTACCAGGTTCAAGCGCACACACACATTCACTCACACAGAGTTAATCTGCCAAGCTGGATCTCTGGCAGAGGACACACAGATAATCGCTCACAGCCAAAATACACACTGAGCTCACAGTACCATCAAAATATGCTGTGTGAGGAGGACCGGCGTTTTTCTGGGGTCATCATCCCTAAAGCAGTTTCTCGTTTATAATAAGCAGAACGTTTGTACAGGACAGCTGGGCGTCTGCAGATACACACGGCTCAGTAATGCAGTGTTTACTTTACAATCACCAAAAATAACCCCTGTTGAAGCGGCGTTTCAAAAAGGCGGCCATAATACAACTTCTTTACTTAAGTGTGAAGGAATGAACTGACAGACCTCTTGTCTTGCACCAATAACACAGTTTCACACAAGCCCGAGGGAAATGGAAAATCCAATTAGTCCTATTCCCTCTATGCACACCCTCAATCCCCACCTGCAAATGTTACGCAAACTCATCGGGCGGTGGCTGATTGTCTGGCATCTTGATGATTTACATCGCGACATTCTAACCACAGCACCTCTGAAACTTTAATCCCACAGCTACACCTTGGTTCCATCAGTCTTTTATCAAGCACAGTGACTCATTGTCTGTCCCCGTCTCATTTCTAACAGCAGCTCACCTTCGTTCTGCTCAAACTCGTCCAGCACCTTGTCCAGGTTGAAGGCCTCGGCCTGGAAGTAATTCTCCATGGGTCAGGAAGCTCCACCCTGCCGACGGCCGCGTGAACCTGGAAGCAGGAAGAGCGTGTCCTTAATACCAAATCCGTTCACATTTCCATACTGTATGCAAATGTCCCCCGTGGCCTGAATCATATTTCCTTTTTCATATCTTTGTCCTCTACTCACTTTAATACAATTTGTTTAAGTAGAAATATCACCTCCAACTCTTTCGCTGTTACTTCTCATTTACCTCCGATGCAGTGCTCTCTTCTGTGATCACTCTGGGGTCACAGATAATGAAAGGAGGGTTTGGGTAAGTATGAGTTAAAAAGGATTTCTTGATTAGGAAGGTTATGGAGTGAATTATATATGACAGCAACAAGGTGACACCAAGGATATGAATAGATCCAAGGGGACATCTTTAACTCGCTTCTTCTGACCAACAGTCCCAAACCTCCAAATATTAAATTTACAACGCAAAAACAGAGAAAACCAACAAATCTTCACATTTAAGAATTTAAGCGGCTTGCCCGGTAGCTCACCTGGTGGAGCGGGCACCACGTATCCTGGCTGAGTCCTTACCGCAGCAGCCCGGGTTCGACTCTGGCCCGGGCCCTTTGCTGCATGTCATCGTTCTCTTTCTTGCCTGCCTTTCCTGTCTCTCTATACTGTAACTATAAAGTAAAGCGAAAACGCCAAATAATTTATTCAACAAAAAACTGCTTTTCAAAACAGTTGCGGATAAATTTTCTGGCGACCGGCTAATCATTTCAGCACCAGATGACACAACCACCCAGATGACATGAGCATGATGTTTACTTTTCCAACTATCTCACAGCATGTTCTTATTTTCTTTGGGTCAGGAAAAGGACATCATTTTGTAGAGATTAAGATAAAGTCTGTACTGTATCTCTAACCATTTCTTAGTAAGCAAGACCTGTTATACTACAACAATCTGTGGAGGTTTGTTTGAATGATCGCGCTAAAACATAAAAATATTCTCTTAGCTGCTACACTGACAGCTGTTGACCGTTTTCAACGTGAAACTCAAGATAGTATTATGCAAGTCATATCGCAAGTTAAATTTACTTCGGTGTATATCCAAGCATCCAAGGCCAGCAAGCTCTATGGGTTATTTAGGTATTGTTAACTTTATCATGATGAACTGTTTGTTTTATAACTTGAAAATTACTATGTTCATTTCTATACTTAATACTTGTATATTTATGACTCCTGTATATAAAATTTAGCCATGAAATAATGTTCCTGTCTCCATCAGTCGTCACCTGCACAGAGGTCCTCCTCAGCAGTCCCAGGCGGTGGCTTTTCTCAGCGGTTTTCCCTCTCAGTTCTCACTTCACCCAGTCTGGCAAGCGCCCAGCGCCCACACCTTACGACAATGAGGGAAACACAATTCATTAAAGAGCTGCTTCTCAACCTGCTTCATTACAAGATGACACAATAAATATGGTTACAGCAAAAACAGTGAACGTCCTACATGCTCACAGTATATGAACTTTTAGATGATATCAAAAGTAAACCCAGCTAATAGCCTGCTTCATGCTTAATATTTCACTTCAGGTGGGTGAAAGGTGCATAGCCTCAACACCTGAGTTTTATTGGTGAACAGACGGTCACAGTGGTGAATGATACTTCTTTATTTTGAGTACCACTTGGTGGTTTAGTTTAAAACTCACAATTCATCTAGAAATCAAATAAAGCTTTGTATATTTGGTATGTTGAAGTGGAGCCAAAATAATAAGTCAATCAATTAACAGTCAGTTGGCAGAAAAAATAATCAGCAGCTACTACAATAAACAATTAACTGTTTATTGTAGTAGCTGCTCAAATGAGATGATTTGATGCTTTTTCTTTGTCATACACAATAGGAAACTGAATACCTTTGAGTTTTTGAATCATTAGCTAAAGCGCTTTTTTAAGCAAGAGACAGATTTATGAAATAAAGACAATAATCACATTGCGCCTCCTCCCATCATACTGACAATGAAAAAAAAAAAAAAACATCTTACATTAGCGCGGACGCTCTAGTTTCAACACCTTCAATTGATCAGTAAAAAAAATAAAAAAAACTAGCTTATCGTGTGCTTTGCACATTATCATACATAGTGAGCAATTACCCATCCACGCTCGACAAGGCAATCAGAGTCGTGAATGGAAAACGGTGGAAGCCTGAATCACTGCACAGAAAAGCTGCCCAGTCTGTCCTTGCTGATGAGAAGACCTTGGAGTGAGGATGTGATGATGTGAGGCGTGAGGAGGTGTGTCGCCGTCTGTGTGTGTGCACGCACAGCTACAAATGAGTAACTGCCAGGCTGAACTCCTGGGTCATTCTCATAAGGACAAGAGCGACCAGGGATTACACGAGAGACTAGATATTTCGCAGAGCAAAGGCCCTAGAGAAAGGAGTCAACACATTTTCCGCTTATTTTAAAGGTGCAAGCATGGGCACGCTGTCAGCACAAAACAGCGAAGACACCGGACAGCACATGTAGTGTGTATTGTGGGTCAAACCAATGCTGCCACACCAAGAACGAGGACAACACTGCTATCAGAGCAAAAAATAAACAATTGCACTGACTACAAAAAGGCTTCTTTAAAAGTAAGAAAAACACAAAATGAATAATCCAACATCAAATGAAACAAAGCAACAGTGCTTTATTTAGAGCATTATACAAAACTTTAAGCAAGCACAGTCCAGATGGAATATAATGACTCAGTTTAGACACAACACAAGCCAAAGTGACGTCAATGCTCAATCAATACAAGAATGAATTCTACTTGCTAAAATAAATATAAACTATGACAAGTGTTTTTTAAATCTACTCCACCTCTACTGAGTGCATTTAGGAAAGTCCAACACGAGTCACCTGCAAAACATTGCTATCAAACAAAATCGTACTTATTTGTTTAAGTAAGAAGACGTGAATAAATATATAATTTGTGCATCTGGTCAGGTAACCCAAATGATTATGCATTTGTGAGGAATAATGCATTTAACATAATGTAGCTCAACACAATAACAGTTTGATTATTGAACTTTAGAAATACTAGGTTGTACTATATAGTACTAACTTTTGGTCCAGAAACAAAAATCTTGATACATCAGAAAAATACAAATCTGTTTTGATGCGTGAACACAGAAGTAGGGAGAGGTACAAGGAAAGACCATACTCAAACCAGAGACGTTGCTACACAAATTGGTAAAAGTTTAATTTCAGCAGGAACTGCTGCTAACTAATAAAATAAGGTAAACAAGGAAATTAATCTGACCAGACATTTGATGGGTTCAATACCTAGCTCTACTCCTAATCGCCATTGCAATTATTTAAATTATATTTTTCAGTCCTGACAACATGGATTTGATTATAGTAACATTACCCTCTACAAGGGAAAAACAAACATTAAAGTCCTAACCATTATTTATTTCTTGTGATATTTATTTACTGATTGAAGCTTGACCAATTTAAACTGCAGGTATTTTAGTAAAATCATAGAACAAAACTGTTATTGACCAACTCCAACATGAAGCTGTTGATGTGATGACATATGAGCAGTAGTAATTCAGTGTTGGACCTGAAGTCCTACTGAAGTTGCTTCAGCAGGCGCAAGCATGAAAACGACCAGGTGTTTAAAACTAAAAAAATCAACAGGCGAAAAACTGAAACTAAAGATGATCCAGTTTGGTTAGGTAAATCACCTTCACTTTACCTGAAGCGACCACTCAATGGGAGCAACATCTAAGCACTGAAGTTCAACCTTGTCCAACCTCTGCACCTTTTACTTCAGCAGAGGGGGTTTCCTCTGTGCTGACTTCGTCTTGCACTGTAAGAGCCTGAAAAGCTCCAGTGGACTGAGGGCCTGTGCACACCGACAACACTCACACAAACACATGTGAACAAACACGCACACACAGACACGCCTTCATGAGGACAGGAGCCTGTCCCTGATTAAGATTTAATTACTCTGCAGAGGTATTGAATAATGCATCTTTAGTCAAAGTGCGTGAAGGAGTTGTATTTTTAGACATGTAAACTTGGGAAGATGCTTTAAAGGAGACATGTGCGCATGAGAGTGTGCCAATCACTAAAGGAAAAAGGTCCTGCGGCTAAATGATCTTAATAAAATGCTCCAATTGCTCAATTAATCACAGACGCAGGCAAGTCCATGTGGTACGGCCTGTATATAAGAATATAAAGATTGTGCATGACAGTGGAGCTCACCTGACAGTTATTCTAAATTATCTACAAACTGTGTGCATCACAATCTAACAAAATCCATGATGCCGTCTTAAAATTATTTCTAAATATGAACTGCTTGTTATCATATCAAACAAGCAGTTGTTCACATTTGTGTAGCTGTAATCTGTAAAGGTTTGATATCTTTAACCGTTCTAGCAGCAGGATGGTAACGTCGGTCGGTCAGTCCACCACTTGGGTCCTGACTGAAATATCTCAATCTCTCTTTTAGATGGATTACCATGAAATATGGTACAACTCTTAATGTTGCACTCATGATAACTTTGTCACTGATTGACCCTCTAATTTTTCATCTAGTATCATCATGTCAAAATTTCTATTGACCAAATACCTGCCCTGTTAGCATGCTAACACATGTTTACGCTAAACTAAGATGGTGTACACATTACATCATCATATCATCAGCATGTTAGCACTTCTTAGGTTCTTAGTCTTGTCACTTGATACATGACTTAAACCACAGATAACCAAAATTGGAATCCGTTTTATGTTAATTCTAATAACTCATAATTTCAGCACTAACTATTTGTAAAACACTACAATAATACGGTCTTTAACTTCACCGACTAATCTGATGATTGCTCTGTCTTTTTAGAGATTGTTTGGTCTGTCAAATGTCACAAAGCAGTAAAACATTTCCATCACAACTTCCCAGACAAGAGACATCTTTAAAATTACTTGTTTTGTCCAACCACCAATCCAGGACCTAAAGATATTCAGTTTAAAACAGAAGAAAAGCTGCAACTTATCACAGTGGAGAGGCTGGATACAGAAAATATCCTGTGTTTTATCTTGATAAGTGGGTAAAGACAACTAATCAATCAGATTAAAAAGTCAAGTTTAGGGCTGCAACTAACGATTATTTTCATATTTTCTCAGTTAATTGATTTAGTTGTTTGGTCTGGTGAAAAAGCTCATTTTTGTCCTCAACCCAAAGATATTCAGTTTACTGTCATAGGAGTAAAGAAACCAGAAAACATTCATATTTAAAAAGCTAGAAAAATAGATTTATTTTTCTTTAAAAATGAATGAGTCGATTTTCACCATAATTACTGATTAAGTTTACAACTAATCGATTAATAGTTTTAGCGCCAGTCAGGTCACTGCACAGATAATGAATTATGAAATGAGGCCTACCTGTGTGTCAATATAATGACACAAACGCATATGAAAAAGGGGCAAAACATAAATAAGGGAATTTTGTAAATTGGTGTAAAAGTGTAACGTATAATGTTGAAACATGACTGACAAGATCAGGGTCTCCATTTTTAAACATCAAGCGAACTGCAGTTGATCCCCATTCACCAGCCTACAGTGTCAGCCAGACATGCTAATAATGAAATGGCCTAACAGACTACTAACACGATAAACCATGCCTGACTAGACATCCTGGCATGGCAGTAAAATTAAATAAGACAAGGCCATACCCAGGGAGGAAACTCGGAAAAACTAGAATGCTAAAACAGTTCATTAAGTCCTCGCTGTCAGACCAAGACTCTTGTTTCCTGTTGTTGTTTCCTGTGAGAGGGCTGCATTCACTTCCTCAATCAGGTGGATTTCCTTTGCAATCATTAGTGTTGTTTTGTTGTGTGATATATATGGAAATAAAATTCATTTTGGAGCTAGTTTAGATGAATACTACTTCCATATTTTGGGATTTTTTCCTTCAATATTCTTTTTTTCCTGGTTTCTTTCCTTCCTTCTGATTGCTTCAATTAGAAATCCTTGTGATTTGTAATTGTTATTTTCTGGAGGTCCACTTCCTGCATGAGGACCGTGTTTCCAATTACACACATAAAAATAAACCCTGTATTCTTCCGCATTTTGGCATCAGGCCTTTTTCACAGCATACATTATGTCACAGCAAGAAAATGACATGAATGAATGAAAATGAAATAAGAGCATTTAAGTGCCCCATAACAAGGATTCTAGTAGTGTAACATGCTGTCTCTAGGGCTGGGTATC